GCTCCCCGCTCCCAGCGCACCTTCCCCGCCGCCCGCCCGCGCGCCCGCCGCGGCTGCCCCTTCCCGGGGTGCGAGTCCTCGTCGGGGCGGTCGGGGCGGCTTTTCAGCCAGGTCCCATGTAGAACAAGACCCTGGGCGGGCGCTGTCCTGCTCTGGGGTCACTCCCCGTGCTGTGGCTCAGTCTCTCCTGAGCCACCCTCCTCTCCGCCCGCTCGCATGCCCCTTTCTTCCCCCAGGACAGAGTATCAGGCTTAGGGATGTTGCCTTCCTCCGCCTGGTGACCTCAGCACCCCTTTCTGGCTCCCTTCCTAGGGCTGCGCCTCTGTCGACCCGGCCCGCAGTCGCCCGAGTGCTGCCTCTCACCTCGGGACGACCGGGCTTAGCGCCTCAGGGACCGCTGTAGATCCACCTCTCCCTGCTCTTTCAGTTTAAATCTGGACCTCGCAGTTTATTGTGTCTCCCAGACTGTCCTCTTCACTTTGTGTATCTCATCGTGCAACCACAACATTTCCCACTCCTGAGTGGGTGGTTGCGCTTGGGTTCTAGGAATCCCGGTTTTGATGACACGTTTCCCTCACGGAAAGACGCCCCCTTTCCGTTTCTGTGTTGTTTTCACAATCTGAGGGGAAAAGACTTCCATTTTGGGGGCGATGAGGGGATCGTGGAGTTTCTGAGCATTTTCACACGTGCATGTAGGAAGTATTGTCCCTTCTATAGCCCGTCGTGGGGTCTCCTGTCTGGGTCCGGTGAACTAAATCCAGTGATCTATGCAACTATGCCGTGCTGCCTCTAATACCCACTTTTTTTCTTCACATGCTGATATTGAGGATTCATGGGTCTGTATCTGTTTAGTGTTTTGATATTTTGGCAAAAGAGGTGGGGAGAAGGTAGACTGGAGTTGGAGCTGATACCAGTTGACCTATGTACTTTCGGGTTCTATCCACATTTACAGTACTGTTTGCGATTCCTAAACGCAAAGGAAGAGATGGATAGGCTCTTGGGAGATAATGATGTGATAGATGCTGCTGGGAATGGAGTAGGTGATACTTTCTTAACTTTATTGCCAAGGCCAACCGGTTTGATTTTTATTTACTTTGCTTATTGTTTTGGATGCAGTTCCCCAGATAAAGTCTGCTCACCCTGATAAAACCGTTGACAGCCCTTGGCAGAAATTCTGGCTTGAGGTTTATGTTCCTAAACCAAATAGAGTTTTGGTGGCCTGATGTTTCTAGTGGCCCAGTGCCTCAAAAGTAGAGAATGTAGTTGTAGTATGAACATTTAACAAACAAAGCAAAAGCAAAGAATGGGCCCAAAACCTTGCTGTCATTTCGTGCTACTTGGGAAGAATGTTTCTTCTTGCTTCTCATCTCCTGTTTCCTTGCTTGGGTCTTAGCAGTGTTTTCATGTGTCTTTTTGTAAATTTCAGTATAGTCCCAGTGGAAAAATTCTGACACTTTAGTACATGGAAAAGTGGAATCTTTTTGAAGCTTTCCATTGTTAACATACTTAATATATTTCGTACCTGGGAGTCATTTGTTAAGATGCTGCTTAGTATATTTCATACCTGCAAATCACTTGGAAAGGTGATCTGTTATATTTGGTGTGAAACCTTCTTTGCAAGTAGGGAAACTGAGGTAGAAGCAGGAAAGTGATGTGCGTGAAGTGCTTTCTGTCCTCAGCAGCTGGGCTGGAGCCAGGCAGCTCTGGGCTGTGTGGGTTGAAGGGTGGCTCTTGTGCCTTTGAGGTCTGTACCCTCCTGTGCTCCTGTGGCCTGTTCATACTTACATGGAAGGCCTTCCTGGAGACAGGATAGAGTCCTCATTCCAGGTGATTTTTTTTTTGTTTTGTTTTGTTTTTTGTTTTTTAATTTGAGGAAGAAACCTGTACTAGCATAAAGAGTTCATATAAAAAAAAAAGTTGAACAGTTATACAATGGAACCCATACTTTTTACTTTCTAGCACTGGGAAAAGAAATACTGTATAGCTGAAGCTCCTAACCCAGTCAAAGGAGGCAACTGGAGGCTTCCCAGTAAATGGTGACCTTTATCACCGTATGATAAGGCTGTAGAGAGAGATCCAAGTAAGTTAACAGCAAGATTGAAGTGAGGTTTTAAACTGTTAAAAAGTGCTATGGGGATTTGCCGTGGATTCAGCATTATAGAATGCCATGTTAGTGTTCTGGCCATTTTATTTAATGACAGCCAATATGAAAGGGTTATTTCTTTCGAGATGCTGAATAGCTTCAAAGGTGGCAGGTGGGGAAGATGCGGTTCTAAGACTGTTGTACTTTGGGAGTTCTAAGGCCTTTTAAGGAGGAGAGTCTTAGGAAACTTAAGGACTTGCTGTGCTCCTGAATAAGCACATGAAATAACAGCTTGGGATTGAGGTGTAATTCTAACCAGGTGTGACTTCTGCCTAGGTCTTGAGTTGGAGCACCAGCACCACCACCAGCGCCAGCAACAGCACCAGCGGTGGGGAGCCTGGGCTGCTGTCATGGAGACTGAGAGCGAGCAGAACACGGGTTCCACCAACGGGAGTTCCAGCTCCGGGGGCAGCTCTCGGCCCCAGATAGCGCAGATGTCCCTGTATGAGCGGCAGGCGGTTCAGGTGAGGCCAGTGAGTGTTGGGCTGGGGTGGGCATAGTGCTGGAAGGTGACTGTTTTCAATTTCTTCTACAGCACTTGGGGAGAGTGGGACTAGGTGAGGATTTAGGGTCTCTTCCAGCTTTCAGAATCTTAGGAGTTTATGAAGTTTGGGCAAGCAAAGAGACTAAAATTTTGTTTTTCTGTTACACCCTTTAACTTGGGTGTAGTGGTGCAAATCTGTAGTTCCAGCAGCACTTGGGAGGCTGAGGCAGGAGCAACTTTGAGTTCTGGTCCAGCCTGGGTTACACAATGAGTTCAAGGCAAGCCTGAATTGCTTAGTGAGACCTTGTCTCAAAAAAAAAAAAAAGAAAATGCTGTAAAATAAGTTAAGAATAAAAGCAAGTTACCAGTATCATTTTAATAAGCATCCGTTTATATTAGACTATACTATTTTAAAATGCCATCTTGGGCCGGGGATATAGCTAAGCGGCATAAGCGCCTGCCTGGCAAGTGCAAGGTCCTGAGCTCGGTTCCTGGTACCAAAAATAAATAAATAAATAAAATAAAAAGCCATCTAGTTGACAGCTTTACCTGATAGAATCTTTCAGAAGGAGCCACTTACTTTATTTTTTCATTACAGGTATTTCTAACCTCTTAGGGCTCTGTATTCATTACTGTATACCCAGAATATATCTTTCACTTTCTTCTTTTCATTAATTGAAATCTTACGTATTTTCAACCTGTCTAGTCATTGCTATATTTGTATGTTTGCAGGTCCCGCTTAGGGAAATAAAAGTTCATGTGAACTGCACTGTTTTACTTTATTTATGTATTTAGATTTTTTGAGACAGGGTCTCGCTCTGTAGTCCATGCTGTTCTTGAACTAGCTGTGTAGCCCAGGCTGGCCTCCCGACTCTGTGATCCTCCTGCCTCAGCCTCCTGAGTACTGGGATTACAGGCTTGTGCCACCATGCCCAGCTGCACTGTTTTACCTTAATATATGAGGGTAGACCGTAGAATTAATTGGTTCACCAATACAGAGTCAGCTGTTCTAATGTAGAAATGGATAAGTCATATGTCTTCTGTCCTCTTTGCTTTTTCCTCTTCCCATGGCTCCCTTCACACATGACAGTGATTTGCACAGAACAGGCATTAGGAGTCATCGATTCTAACGTCGCATCCTGCCTTCTTCCCTAGGCTCTGCAGGCTCTGCAGCGGCAGCCCAATGCGGCTCAGTATTTCCACCAGTTCATGCTCCAGCAGCAGCTCAGCAATGCCCAGCTGCACAGCCTCGCTGCAGTCCAGCAGGTGAGAGGTCAGCAGCCGGTGGCCCGAGGGAGGGACAGGTGCTCCAGGTGGGAGTGTAGGGGAGACTCAGGAAGCCAGCCTGGAACAGAGTTGCCTTTGCCTTCTGTCCTCTTGGAGGGGGTGTGTGGCCTTTCTCTTCTCACTTTGCAGGAAGAGTCGTGGGGCCTGGCTGTGTCCCACACCTGGTCTGTCCAGCGTGGGAGCCGCTTGAGACATAGCCAGTCCAACCTGAGATGCACTCTAAGATTTTAGCGTTTGAAGACTCATAATGGCAAAAGAATGTAACATAGCTCAGTGATTTTAAAATACTAATTACATGTTAAAATGATATTTTAGATAGAGTTAGATAAAATAAATTATTGAAGTTAATGCCTCCCGTTTCTTTTCTTACTGATGTGCTCGGTAGCTCATGTTACATTTGTATTGGATAGTTCTGCTGAGATTTATCAGTGATTCATGATGATACCTGCTGAAAGGTGGTTCTTTCTAAAGCAGGGGAGGCCAAGTTGCTTGTCTGCCTGGGGTTCCTGGGTTAGCACGCGTGGTAGGGTAAGGGTTATTGGAATAGTGGATACACTTTTCCTTCTTCTAGAGTAGTCTCTCTGTTTTTACCTGAAATCCCCACGTTTTGTGATTGTGGTTTTTTTTTTTTTTTTTAATTGGAAGACCGAAAGCTTTTTCCTTTATTGTTTCTTCTCTTTCTTGTTTCCCTTCTCTTCTATACAGGCCACGATTGCTGCCAGTCGGCAGGCCAGCTCTCCGAACACCAGCACCGCGCAGCAGCAGGCGCCCACCACCCAGGCCTCAGTGAGTGCGGCTGTGCCTCTGGCGCGGTACCCTCCCCGGCTCTTTGTTTTGCACAGTTGACCTGAGTGTGTTGGTTGAGCTATAGTGGACATTTATTGCCCTTAGGGAGAGAATAGCAGTAAAAGGAGGGCAGTCAGCTTGGATCTATATAGGAAACCCAAGTCAGGAAGACGAAAACTGGGGAAGAAGAGGAAACTCTCCTTTTTTCTTTTTTTGGTTAGAGACAGGGTCTCGCTGTGTAGTTCAGGCTGGCCTGTAACTCACTATACAGCCTAGGCTGGCCTCAAACTTGGCTTTGGTTCACTTGCCTCAGCCTCCCAAGTGCTGGGATTACAGGTGTGCCCCACTGTGCCCTGCCACTCTTCTTCAGGGAGAAATAAAATCCGTCCCTTTTCATTGTTATGCTTTCGCCAGTGTAACTTTTTCCTCTTTTGACTTTTATAACATTCCAGAATCGCCTGGATGACTGTTTTGGCTGGAGAGGTTTTGTTCTCTGACTCTGTGAGAGTGAGATAACACTGTTCTTGACCGTGTCGCTGTCCCACATCCTTAGTTCCGATTCCTTTCTGTACCACACAGATCAACCTGGCCACCACCTCCGCTGCCCAGCTCATCAGCCGATCCCAGAGCGTGAGCTCCCCCAGTGCCACCACCTTGACCCAGTCTGTGCTACTGGGGAACACTACCTCCCCACCCCTCAACCAGTCCCAGGCCCAGATGTACCTGCGGGTAAGTCACAGACGCGGGCACCAACATCCCTGAGCGTAGTTTGTAATTGTGCCCCACTGGTAAGGACGCGAGTGAAAGCTATTACTTATTTGCACTGCTGGAGATCGAACCTAGGGCCTCCTGTGTGCTAGGCAAGCCTCCGACCGCTGGGTCACACCCCTGCCCCGGAACTGTTCTCTTTCATTCTGTGCTAACTCGTGACTAAATTATTGTTAGATGTAGTCTAAGCTTAAACCCATGCCTCAAGTACACAAATTCCAAGTATTATTTCTGCCCATCTGCTGGCTACATGTAACTGTGTGCTCCAGCCTTGGTCTCAACTTCTTTGATGTCTGAGTCTTCATTATCAGCCATAGTCGTCTACACAGTTGGGTTTTTTTCGGGGTGATCCCTTGCGCGTGGCACTGAGCGGCTCCCGGGTTGATGTGCAGAGGGGCAGGGCCCAGCTATTGAATATCTGCCGTTTACTTTGTGTTGTGGTCCTTCCCTTCCGTTTCTTCTGTCTCTTCTTTTCCTCCTGTTCTCTTTGCTCTTCTCTCCCTCTCCTTGCCAGCCACAGCTGGGAAACCTATTGCAGGTGAACCGGACCCTGGGCCGGAATGTGCCTCTGGCTTCCCAGCTGATCCTGATGCCCAACGGGGCGGTGGCCGCTGTCCAGCAGGAGGTGCCCTCGGCTCAGTCTCCCGGAGTTCACACGGATGCAGATCAGGTCAGTGGAGAGCATGGAGGCAGCGCCGGCGAGCGCAAAGGGTGTGATGGCCAGCGCCCGCCTTCTGCCCCACTGCTGCTTGTCAGATTATTGGTTTTTGTGCTTTTTTTTTGTTGTTGTTGTTGTTGTTTTTGAGTTGTGGTTTGTTTTTTGGTTTTTTCCGATAGGATCTTGCTGTATATTCCAGGCCAGCCTTGAATTTGCTGTGTAGCCCTGGTCTGAAACTCCCACTCCTGCTCCTCTTGTTGCCTCCGCCCCCTGAGCATGGGGATCACACGTCCAGCTCTTTTTGTGTGTTTTGCTGTCCTTTTCCTTAACCCCTATGGAGCTTGAGTACCTTACAACTTTTGAGTTGGTTTCAGTTAGGGAATTGTCGGAAAAGAGCCTCTGGATCTGGGAAGTCTTACTTTCTGTACAGGGTAAATTTCCTCTTCGTTTTCTGTAGTGCTGTGTGGCTCAGGTGTTTTCAGACAGTCTCTGTTAATGTCTGCTGAAGAGAAGGGATACTTGGGGGAATTTTATTGGTAGATGTGAGGGAGATTTGGCTGAGTTTCAGGAAGAATGTTTGGTTCTTTCTGGTCATGAGTTACTGTAGGGCTCAACTGTCAACTCCTGTTCACTTTTTCCTCACTTAAAATTTTCTTTACCATTATAGTTTATGACTTATTCTTAAAATTCGTATATATTTTTAAGTTTTAGTTCTTGATGGGGTGGACACAAGCTAGGATCTTATAATAGTTACTTCATTCTTTCAGGCTGTCAGCAAGTATTTAGCTCTTTTTATTGATTTTTTCAGTAATGTGTTGGGTATTTTGGAAGATTAAAAAGAAATGTGAATCAAATCTTCAGGGAGTTTGAAAGAGAATAAAGGTGCCAGACTAAATGGTATTAACTTGGAGTGACACACGACTTGAGGGAAAAGTTGGCTGTATTACTTTGCAAGATCCTTGAGCAGTCTTAAAGGAGGGGTAGGATTTGATTTGGACTAATTGTAGAGCGACCAACAGGTATAAGGGTGTAGCTCATGTATGTAAATATGAATGTGTGTAGTGGTGTTGGGGAGAAAGGCATGAACAAATTGGAAATAACAAGCCTGCAAGAAGAGGTCATTGCTAGGGAGAAGCCTACAAGGCAAGAAAATGAGGTGGTGGTAACTCCGAACAGTTACTGGCTATTTCTTTTTTTTTTTCCCTCCCGTACCGGGAACCGAACTCATGACCTTGCGCTTGCCAGGCAGGCGCTTTGCTGCTGAGCTAAATCCCCAGCCCCCTGGCTATTGAACAAGAGACTAACAGGTTAAGAAAAGTACTTCATTTAGGTGGAAGCAAGTGGGAGCACTTGCCTGGAGAAGAGAAGTTATGGAACCTGCGAACATACTCTGGGATCATGTATAAAGTAATACCTTTGCTTTGGATTCTGGTAGTAGCAGTGGGAGCGAGGGACAAGGTTGATCCTTTTTCCATGTACAGTTTTTCATTTATCTAGCCACTGATCAAATATTTGAGCATCAGTATGGAGAGAGAGAGGAGAGTAGTGAAAGGTGTGCATTTGGTGTTTGGGTCAGAATCTGGCTCCATTACTTACTGTAAGTCCTTGGGCAAGTGACCTCACGTCTTCCTACTGTCTCCAGAAAAGGGGTGGGCTGGAGTGGGGTTAGGGTTAGTGATACAGCTCAATGCGAGGGCCCCAGGTTCAGTTCCTAGTTAACCCTCAGCCCCGTACACACATGCACACAAGAGTCTTAAACTGTTTATTACTAATTTATTTATTTCTTAATTTTTTGGGTACTGGGAATTGAACTCAGGACCTCATGCTTACCAGGCAAGTGCTGCACCACTGAGCTAAATCCCTGGCTTCCTAAATTGTTTATTACTAATGTGTCAGACATTCCTTAGCCTGAATGCCCAGAAAATCATGATTACTGCATCTGTGGGGACCATGGACCACTGAAGCATTAGACATTAAAAAATGTTCACCTGAATGGTGTGGTAATTGATTCACTGGAAATGCAGGATTCCCTGGTGGTACAGAAAGCGACCTAATCTAGCTTTGGGGTGAGGGATAGAAAGGGAGGAGGTGAGATTGGAATTGGAGAAGTTTGCCAGATACTGATGTGGGAACGTGTCGAGGGCCAGCAGCACAGTTCTAGTGAGACAGGAGCTTGACTGGCTCGAGGGATTAAAAGGTTTGTTTTCCTGGAGTTTGGCAAGGGGACCCATCAGGAGGAAGGAACCTCATCTCGCAGCGTGTTGGGAGCTGTGTTTAAGATCTGAGGCTTTCTGTGAAGGACAGTGGGCATCTCAGGAAGGGTTTTAAACATGCAGGTGACGGGGGAGACAGTTGTGAAGACCGTGCTGGTTCCTGTGCGGAAACTAAATGGGAATGATGTGAACGCGAATGGGGATCCGTAATGGTGGAGGACAGTGCTGCTTGGTTAGGTAGTTAGCAGTGAAGAGGGATGGAAACTCAAAGCTTTGAGACTGACTTGGAGAGTCATGGAAGGAGGCGAGCTGACTGTTTGACGGAATGAGGAGGGTGGCAGCTCTGAGAGCCGACACAGCAGCAGGTGCTGCTGGTACTGTGTCCCAGGTGAGCCCTGGAGAGTAGTATGGTGACAGTGACATTCAGTTGTGGACATGCAGACTTAGGGTGCTTGTGAGCCACACACAAGGAGATAGGCAGCAGGTCTGTGTAGTTTCTGAGCTCAGAGAGGTCTGGGCTCATACACAAGTGAGCATAGGGACCATGCACATGACAGTGGGGTCTAAGGAGTATTTATTTATTTATTTATTTATTTTTTCTGGTACCAGGACCTTGCACTTGCCAGGCAGGCGCTGTGCCGCTGAGCTAAATCCCCAGCCCCTCTAAGGAATATTTAAAGGGACTTAGCGAGATGGTATGTGAAGAAGCAGACATTTAACACAGAGCCTGAAGATTGGGAGGAGCCTGCCCCTAGAAAGGCAGTTCCAGGCTGATAGAGGGAGGCGGGCAAGAGTAAGAGAGTTTGGAAAACCTGAACTGTGTTGTGTTCATGACCACAGGAAAGCAGAATGTTTGAGAGGGAGGGAGGGAGGGAGAGAGAAAGGTACTCACCTTTTTGAATGTAGTAGGAAGGGAAAGAAGGATGAATTTATTAATATGGAGGGAGAGCTGCTTCAGTGGGGTTGAATGGATTGAATCTAAAGCAGTGCGAGTCTGAGGAGCAAGTGAGTGGCTGGTGGGAATGGGTGCAGTCAACATGGGGGAGCTCAGCCGTGCAAAGGAGGGCGAGGCTAGGGAGGGAAATGTGAGTTTAGATCTGGTGATGGGGCCAGAGAACGGAGAGGTTGCAGTTGCAACCCGTGTCTTTGGAAGGCAGGCTGAGAGGATCCTGTTCCTGGAGGAGGGCTGCCCTTTGATAGGAGGAAGGGAGAGAAGGGAAAAGAGAGAGGCACATGTCAGTAAATGCAGAGAGTTGATGGTGCAGTGGCTGAAGGAAGTTCAGGTAATGGTTTTTATTTTCTCCTCAGAGGTGAAGAGAGAGGAGAAGGGGAAGGGATAGGAACAGTAAGAAAGTTGGAGGGGTGGGGATTTAGCTCAGCGGTGCAGCGCCTGCCTGGCAAGCGCAAGGTCATAAGTTCGATTCCTGGTACTGGAAGAAAAACAAAACAAAACAAAAAAAAAGAAAGTTGGAAATAGTCACTGTAGAAAGGAAGCTGGAAGGAAAATCTGTAATTGCCAGATGACTTTTTTTTTTATTGTTTGTTTTTGTTTATTGGTTTTTTTGAGACAGGATTGAACTCATGGTGACCTTCCTGTTCAGCTTTCCAAGTGTTGGGATTATAAGTGTGTGCCACCACGAGCAGCTTAGATGACATTTTACTTTGTTCCTAGAACCCAGTCCTTATGATTCTTGTAAATATTTCTGCCCAAAGCCAGACCATCCTCCTTACTTCTACTGTCTGAATTCAGGTTCTTACTTTCACGTGGCTCTCCATAGTAGCTCTCTAAATGATCTTGACTTCAGTTTTTCTTTTCCGGTACCAGGGATTGAACTCACAACCTCATGCTTGCCAGGCAGGCGCTGTGCCGCTGATCTAAATCCCCAGCCACTTGACTTTAGTCTTATCTGCTTGTAATCCTCTTCCAAATTGCTATCAGGATTTAAATTTTTTTAAGTAAGAAAACATTATTATAAATTTTTCTTTTTTTTTTTTTTTCCTTTTTGAGATAGGGTCTTGCTATGTAATTCAAGCTGGCCTTGAATTCACTATGCAGCCCAGGCTGGCCTCAAACTCACACTGGTTCTGCCTCAGTTTCCTAAGTGCTGGGATTATAGGTGTGCATTACCAGATCCAGATTTATTCAGTAATTTTTAACTGAGTTTTTAACCTAGCTCAGTGGCAGAGCACTTGTCTAGCGTCCTCAAGGCCCTTGGGTTCAGTCCTTGTGTCTTAGTTCCTTTCTTACTACTGAAACACAGTACTCGAAACTCACAACTTAAAGGAGGAAAAGTTTATCTTGGCTCATGGTTTGTACAGGTTTCAGCCCATAGTCAGCTGGCTCCAAGGGAGAGGGGCATGGCAGAGAAACAGCATGGCCTAGCATCAGGAAGCAGATAGAGATCCAGAAGGGAGAAGGGAGATAGACCCTTCCAGGCCACGCCCTCAGTACCATGTCCTCTGACCAGGCTCACCCCCTAAATCACACTTAGCTACAGACTCATCAGTAGATTCATCCACTGACAGTATTACACCTCCGAGATCCAGCCACCTCTCAAAAGCTCCACCTAGGAGCATATGAGGCTTTGGGGGAACATCCAGATATAAACCATAACACCCTAGCACCACAGGAGGAAAAAAGTATTAATCCTACCTCCCATCTCTTGTCTGTCCCTAACTATGCTAATGATCATTTTGATGTTTAGGGTTATCCTTCCCTTGGGTTTCTTTTAGATGATTTTGCTGCATCTGTATATATATTTCTAAAAAGTACTTTTTATCATGAAAAATGTCAAACATTAACACAGTGAGAAAAAAGAATCCTAGTGTACTTTATTTTTCTCTAGCAGTTATCAATGTGGACATTTTTGGGCCCTTCCTCTCTGCCCTTGGGTGAGTTGGAAGCAGATCCCAGATGCCTGCCACATACTGTGTTGCCAAGGCTGCCTTCAACTCCTGGGCTGAAGCCATCCTCCTGCAAATAGCTGGGATTACAGTGCGTGCCACCATGCTGGCCTGCAAATCCTTTGTCATGGCTGAGCCCAGTGGTGCATGCCTGTAAACCCCAGCTCTCAAGAGGTTGAGGCAGAAGGATCACTGTGAGTGAACCAGCCTAAGCTACATAGTGAGACTCTCAAAAAAAATGTGTATGGTCAAGATCCATTTATTTTGTAGTCATTATTTATTTTAATTTTTACCTAATACTGCATTTTATAAGTGTGCTGTAGCTTTTCACAGTCTCTTCTGGAGAGGGCAGTTTGGATCATTTCCAGGCTTTTGTTACCCTGGGGTAACCTGCCCCCTGGGGTAGGTGGCAGTATCTCTTGTGGAGTTCTAGGTTTGTCAGGGCGTGTGAGTGTTCATCTTTGGGGTATGATGGCAAATTTTATACAAAGCAGTTATAAAGGAACATAGAACTATAGATTTTATTGTGCTTATTACCATTAATATTTTTCAGTGGCTCCTATAATCAGGTAGTCATAATTCCTTTCCTCTCTTCATATTCTTTTCCTCTCAACTGTTTTGCTAGACTCTGTGTTAGGTTCGAGGACTATAACAATGATTAAGGCAAATAAACTTGCTGTTTCTAAAGTTCAGGGTCTTGGTTGTTTTTGGAGACAGGGTCTCCATGTGTAGTTGAGGCTGTCCTGGAACTCACAGTGTAGCCCAGGCTGGCCTCAAACATATCAGTGAGAACCTTCTTATTTTAACCCACCAAGTGGTACTTTTCTACTTCAGTTTTCTACTTCAGTTTTCTGCTTCAGTAATCTTCCCTTCATTTCTCTCCACCTCTGCAGCTCACTCCAAACATAATGAAGTATTTTTTCTAAAAGTACCATGTTCTTTCTTGGTTCTGAGGCCTTGTAAATGCTATTAGCAATGTTTTCAGAACCCCAGTTTCACTGCTGTGAGATCAGATATCACCCTTTTGGGGAAGACTTCCTTGATCTCCTTTCTGCTGCCACAGAACTTTGTTTATATTTGTGAATATTATCATATCATCGCTGCTGAATTTCTTCTTTAACAGAAAGTATTCATTAGGAGCAGGGACTGTGTCTTTGATCCCTGCATTTCTAGTGTTCACTGTAGTACCTGGAGCGTATCAGACATTTGGTAGATGTTGAAGGAATGCATGGAGAGGAAAGGGAGAATCAGAGGGACATCTTGAAAGAATGAATGCTGAAGAGACATGATAGTGAATGAAGGAGACTGAAAATCGGCTGTTTACAAAGCTCCTCTCTGCGAGCCTGGAGAGCGTTTCATGTGTAGTGTCATAGAGGCAGGGGTATGAGCTGAGTGTGATACTGGCAAAAGCGTGCTGCTTTTTAATCTGTTACAGAAATCTCTTTTTTTCTTTAAATATCTTTCAGGTGCAGAACTTGGCAGTGAGGAACCAACAGGCCTCTGCTCAAGGGGCCCCAATGCCAGGCTCCTCCCAGAAGGGCATTCCTCCTGGAGCCTCTCCTGTCTCCGGCCTCCCGCAGGCCTCAAACCAGGCCCTTGCTGTGGCACAGGCTTCTTCGGGAGCCTCAGGCCAGTCCCTCAACCTCAGTCAGGCTGGTGGAAGCAGTGGGAGTAGCCTCGCAGGGTCCCTGGGTCCAGGTGGAGGTGGCCAGGCACCTGGGGGTTTGGGTCAGTTGCCTTCCTCAGGAATGGGCGGGGCAGGCTGTCCCAGGAAGGGCACAGGAGTGGTCCCACCCCTGCCGGCAGCCCAGACAGTGACTGTGAGCCAGGGCAGCCAGACAGAGGTGGAAAGTGCAGCAGCCAAGAAGGCAGATGCAGATGGGAGTGGTCAGAATGTGGGCATGAACCTGACGCGGACGGCCACCCCTGCCCCCAGCCAGACTCTTATTAGCTCAGGTGAGTTGTTGCCTCTCACAGTGCTGCTGTTTCCCAGAACTTGCTTGAAATTTTCAGCAAACAGTCCCCCCCCAACCCCCCGGGCTTGGCATAGTGGAAGGAAGGGAATCACATCAACCTTGAACATGCTAATGCTAGTCCAAGACAGGAGGACTGCTAATGCTTCCCCCAAGCAGCATTCAGCTTACACTAGGCCATCCCACTTTCTCAGGCTCCTGCATTCTTTGGTTTACTCATCTGTCTATCTACCCAGTTCTTAGTGAATTGCCTGCTGTGTTCTTGGAGGTGCTGGTGATACATCTTTGAAAAGTAGATTCCCTGTCCTTCCAGTTTAGAATAGGGATGAATCCTGTCCTCACTCATCATTTCATGGCAAATAGAGTATAAATGCCATAGAGTACTTAAGACTAGCAAGTAGAGCCGTGGTTTAGTCAAATAGTGATCATCTGTACCTGTGATAAAGATGAGAGAGTAAACAACCTTTATAACCCTAGTTTATACTTGCTTTCAGACTGGGTAAGATGGAGTTAGATGTGTATATCTTGGTAATGTTATTTTGCTACCTTTGTTTTTGATATGTTAGTTGTTGATATATTTGAATAATTTACTCACAGAAGCTAATTGTTATTATTCATAGGTATTTAAATACTGTCACACTCTGTTTCCAAAGTGCTTTCATATTGCACACTGTGTTTCTGGACAGTGTGGTAAAGTATAGGGGTGGAGGCTGTCAACTCCAGTTTACAGTTTAGGAAACTCAGTAAAGTCAGCACCAAGAGCTGCTGACTCTTACGACTTCTCAGACAGTGACCTAGACTGATGAATTTTAAAAACTGAGGGATTCATGGGAAGATGGTAGCTTTAACTTTGTGGGTATTTATTCTTTCAGTAACTATTAAATGCTTCATATGTGACAAACACTGACCTGAGTTCAAGGGATGAGAAAATGCTCCAGGACCAGGGGCCACTCATTTTCTTCTGCTCAGCACGGAGTCAAAGAATAGGACATGTAGGAATAGAGAAAGTAGACAAGAGAACCACTAAGGGTTGTCCCATGACTGTGCAAGCCTATGTGGGACACTAGAAGTGTTAGTCACGTCTGGCTCAGTGGAGAGAGTATGGGTGAGGTGCTGTTGAAGTTCCACGCAGACTCAATTTCTATTCACATATGATTCTAAAACTAGTTTGACCTTGGGAAGACAATTTTAATTTAGAAGGGTTGAGCTTTTCTGCCCTTTTTCTGTTCTGGGCTTGTTCCTATAGCTACATACACACAGATCCAGCCCCATTCACTGATTCAGCAGCAGCAGCAGATCCACCTCCAGCAGAAGCAGGTGGTGATCCAGCAGCAGATCGCCATCCACCACCAGCAGCAGTTCCAGCACCGTCAGTCCCAGCTGCTGCACACAGCCACACACCTGCAGTTGGCCCAGCAGCAGCAGCAGCAGCAGCAGCAGCAACAGCAACAGCAGCAGCAGCAGCAGCAGCAGCAACAACAGCAGCAGCAGCAACAAGCCACAACCCTCACTGCCCCTCAACCACCACAGATCCCTCCTACTCAGCAGGTCCCACCTTCCCAGTCCCAGCAGCAAGCCCAGACCCTTGTGGTTCAACCTATGCTTCAGTCTTCACCGCTGTCTCTTCCACCGGACCCAACCCCCAAGCCGCCCATCCCCATCCAGTCCAAGCCGCCCTTAGCGCCTATCAAACCTCCTCAGTTAGGGGCTACAAAGATGTCAGCTACCCAGCAACCACCACCCCATATCCCTGTGCAAGTTGTGGGTACCCGGCAGCCAGGTACAGCCCAGGCACAGGCTTTGGGCTTGGCACAGCTTGCAGCCACTGCCCCTTCTTCCCGGGGGATGCCAAGTTCAGTGCAGCCTGGCCAGGCCCACTTGGCCTCCTCCCCACCTTCATCTCAGGCTCCCGGCACACTGCAGGAGTGTCCTCCTACATTGGCTCCTGGGATGACCCTTGCTCCTGTGCAGGGGACAGCACATGTTGTAAAGGGTGCGGCCACCACATCGTCACCTGTGGTTGCCCAGGTCCCCGCTGCCTTCTACATGCAGTCTGTGCACCTACCGGTGAGTAATGTCCAGTGGTTTTGAAGTTCCCATCAGTGGAAAGAAAGCTTCATTTAATAGAAAAGTTTAAGAGGGTCAATTGGGGCATTTTTCCTGCTCTTTTTATGAAGAATGAGATGTTAACATATATAACATTTAGACTTCATACTTCTAAATTTATAACTGAAATCCTTCTGGGGTTTTGGACATATTCTAAGTTAGACCAACGTGACCTGAGCAGAATAAATCTCTACACAGACAGTTCTTGATTGGTCTGCAATGAATACAGGGTCTTATGGTCTAAGTCACAACTGATGATTGCGTTTTCTTGTCCTGATCTAGATGTTATACAAAATGGGGATGACCAAGAATTCTAGTCTATCATGGGAAGTGTACAGAGTGGGTATGGAACCAAGGAACTTTTCTCTGAAAGTATGGGAATAATTGTAGTTCCTTATTATCCATCATGCCTAAATCTTAGTTTCCTTTCCGTTCTTCACCTTGTAGGGTAAGCCCCAGACACTGGCCGTGAAGCGCAAAGCTGAGTCGGAGGAGGAGAGAGACGAGGTTTCCACGTTGGGCTCAATGCTGCCTACCAAGGCGTCTTCAGCTGCAGAGAGCCCAAAGGTCATGGAGGAGAAGAGCAGTTTTGCGGGTGAGTGACGGACTTCTGCAGTGCTGTTGGGGTGCAGAGGGAATAGAGAAGTGTGTCCTGAAGAAGCCAGAAGATAAATCTGGTGTAGTGGACAGTGGGCCTGAACTTTGTAGACAGACGAATGCGAGCACTTACCGTTGTGGAAGCTCAAGCTGGCTCAGCACGGGTGGCTGAGCAGAGAGGTCACACCGTCTTGTGTCTGTCCTCAATGTGTGTGTCTTGCAGAGAAAGCTGACCCCGGGGCCAGCATGAATGCCAACCCCCCCAGCAGTGAGCTCGTAGCCCTGGCCCCCACCCCGGGAGCACCACCTCCTTCGCTGGCCATGGTGTCCAGACAAATGGGAGACTCGAAGCCCCCGCAGGCCATCGTGAAGCCTCAAATTCTCACCCACATCATTGAGGGCTTTGTTATCCAGGAAGGAGCAGAACCTTTTCCGGTGAGGGTGGTGCCCTACAGGGGGCGTTTGGGGGGATTCCATGATTGTGTTTCCAGATTCTTCTACACGCAAAAGGTACAGGATTACTTAAGTAGAGAATGTTCAAGGATACTGTCCTTTAGTTGTAAAGAAGGAAAGACAAAGGAAAAGTGAAAATGGTGGGAAAAGAAAAGTAACATTTAAAACTGTTCAGTTAGGTAAACTGAGTGGCTTTATTAATGAAGAAAGTTACAGAAGAGATGAAAGCACTTTCATAATGTGAGTCAGAAGCAGAATTGGCACTTGGGTCTTGACTCCTTGCTGCCCTTAATCTTAGGGAGGACAGGACCAGACAGGGAGGCGGGTAGGAAGCTGTTCTCCAGTGGCTTCTTTGGAAAAGCCAATTAGAACCTCTGATTGCCACGGTGGAATGCGTTCTCTGTGAACTAGACCTGGCTGTTAACTCAGACCAGGCAAGGACATGAGGGTGGGAAATGTTGGGGAGAGCCGTGGAGAGACAGGAAGGAATTAGGCTGACTTCGCTGTGTGCTTCTTTCTGGGACAGGTGGGCTGTTCTCAGTTACTAAAGGAGTCTGAGAAGCCGCTACAGACCGGCCTCCCAACAGGCCTGAGTGAAAGTCAGTCAAGTGGCCCCTTAGGAGGGGACAGCCCTTCTGCTGGTGAGTATTTAGAGGCCCATCTGAGGGCCAGAGGCCTATAGAGATGTTTCTCAGGATCCAGTGTAAAACAGTAACTGTTTATTTAAAGTAGGAGTTAGAAGTCTATCTATACACAGAAACTATACTGTATTTCAGAGTAGGCCTTGGGTTTGGTATTTAGTGCTGTTAAAAGCTATACAATAACTTCTACGACATGTATGCTTTTTCTCCCCCTCAGTGCTGGGGATGGGACCTATGGCCTCACACACGCTAGCTAAATGCTTTACCACTGTGCTATATTCTGAGCCTACAACATGACATTTAAATTCTTAATTTCCTCTTCTGCTTATTCTAGATTATATAATCTATATGTAATCTTTATGTAGTTTATATTACAATTCGAAAATTTTCTTCATTTTTTTTTTTCCCCCCTTGGTTTTTTGATGGTGTCTCAGTATATATTTTGATTGGCCTCAAACTCACAGCAGTTCTCCCACCTCAGCCTCCTAAGTGCTGAGATTACAGGCATGTACCATCACACTCAAATTCTCTTAGGCTTTTGAACTCTTTGCAGGAGTGGGATCGGAAATCTTTCTAGGCATTAGTGATGAGTTCCTCTTTCCTATTTAGAATTGGAATTAAAATCTGAAGTTTGAATTAGGATAAAATTTTTTTTTTTTTTCCCGGTACCGGGAATCAAACTCATGACCTTGCGTTTGCCAGGCAGGCGCTGTGCCACTGAGCTAAATCCCCAGCCCCAAATTAAGATAAAATTAATAAGACATCTAGAATGGAAATTGTCTGGGTTGAGGTTAGTAAGACCTTGAAGACGTAGACGTCTTCCCAGTGTTGGGTTTAGGGATTTTAACTCGGGCTGTGTAGCAGATAGGGGTAGTCCCTGAGAAAGTTGAATCCTAGCTGTGGGCTAGGATTGGCTGAGGGGAGCAGAAGCTCATGGTAACTCTCAATGACCCCTTGTTTTTCAGATTTAGATAAGAAGGCAAACCTCCTGAAGTGCGAGTACTGTGGGAAGTACGCCCCTGCAGAACAGTTCCGAGGCTCTAAGAGGTTCTGCTCCATGACTTGTGCCAAGAGGTACCGTGGGCACCACCTGTCTCTCTCAGCACTGGTTTCTGTACTGCAGTTACAGCTTTTCCAGGGCCATTTCACAGTCTGATACTGCATGTCTTCCTCTTTGCTTTCATTTGCTTCCCCAAGTCAACTCCTAAAATACCAGTTCACGTTTAGGGCAGAGTAGTGACTGGTCTCTTCTAGCACCCTTATGCCTTACTCCTGACCTCCGGTTTGCTGTCTATGCCTTGACCTGCAGATACAATGTGAGCTGCAGCCACCAGTTCCGGCTCAAGAGGAAAAAAATGAAAGAGTTTCAAGAGGCCAACTACGCTCGAGTTCGTAGGCGTGGGCCCCGCCGCAGCTCCTCTGACATCGCCCGAGCCAAGATCCAGGGCAAGCGCCACCGGGTGAGCTGCTGCTGCAGAGCTGGCCACTTAAAACGGGCGGTGGGGCACCTCCTGTGCCCAGGTAAAAAGACAGGAGAGCAGAGCTCGGGTTTACGTCAGTTGTGTTTCTGGCCCCTTCTCTCTCTTCTCACCTGATTGCTAGTTGTGTCCATTAATCCTTACTGTCTGTATTTGAGATACGAGGGTAGAATCAAGGAAGGCAGAAAGTTCATACCTGAAAGCCACTTGAGGTTAGACTTTGGGCAGATGAAGCACAGAGTACTTGACAAATGGTAATACTGGTTTGTCTTCTGTGCTTAACCCAGGGTGAATGGGGAGAACTCACAAAACTTATTCCTGACCTCTGGTTTGCTCTTTTCTCTAGGGTCAAGAGGATTCCAGCCGGGGTTCAGATAACTCCAGTTATGACGAGGCACTCTCCCCTACATCTCCTGGGCCACTGTCAGTACGAGCTGGGCATGGAGAACGTGACCTAGGGAATACCATTACGGCACCACCAACGCCAGAGTTACACGGCATAAACCCTGTGTTCCTGTCCAGTAATCCGAGCCGTTGGAGTGTAGAGGAGGTGTATGAGTTCATAGCTTCTCTCCAAGGTACTGAGGGGTCTCCTGTGGAACCCAGGTGGCATCGTCCACAGGGGCTTTGTGAGCAGGAACAGAACAGTTGGGGAGCAGGTGGGACTTGAGCCTGGTACTAGAGAGGCTCTTCCCTTGGTATTCAAGTTGCTTGCCCATAGCTTGGCTAATTTCCTTTTGGGTTACTTTGTCTTTTACCCTGTCAGCAATTCTGCAGTGCTTCCTTTTCTTACTGTGACTCAGCTGTTACTTCTTACCATCAATTTTTGGATGTTTTATGTGTGATTAACTGATCCCTATCAGAATATGACTTTTTTCTCCAACAGAGAAGGGAAAGTAAGGAACTTTCCTTACGGCAAGTCTCTTCTCCATAAGAGAAAAATTGCCAAAATGGGCCTGGTAGCACAGACCCATAATCCCAGCTCTCTGGAAAGGCAGGTTCAGGTCTAGCCTAGACAGTGTAGGCAGACTGTCTCAAAATATGTTATGTACATGTATTAACTCCCCACAATCAATACATGTACTAAAAAAGGAGGGTGGTTAGTGTTAAAGCCTTGGGTCTAACCCCCAGTACCTCAAAAAAAAAAAAAAAAAAAAAATCACCCTATTTTTCTTGCTATTTGAAGTCTGAGTTCTTAACAGAATTGTTGCAAAGCTTTTTTTTTTTTTTTTGGTATTTTGAGGTAAGGTCTCACTGTGTAGTTCAGGCTGGCGTTGAATTTGTGGCTGTCTTTCTGCCTCGGCCTCCCAAGTGCTGGGATTATAGGTTTGTGCCACTATGCCTGGCTGGTGCAAAGGCTCTTAACTTTAATCTTTTTCCACTATGAAAGAAAATACACTTTTTTTTTTTTTTGGTTTCTCATCTCCCCACATGAATTTTTGTGGTTAAGTAATTTAGAGCTTCCTTTTGTTTATTTTGTGGTATTGGGGATTGAACCAGGGGCCTTTCACTGAGCTACACCTCCAACCCTTTTGAAACTGAGACAGGGTCTTGCTGAGTGACTGAGTAACTAAGCTGGGCTTGAACTCACCATCTTCCTGCCTCAGCCAAAGTGTGGGATTACAGGTCTGCACCACAATGTCTGGCTAGATTTTCCTTTTTTGATCTTTTAAAGTAGTAGCTAGTAGCTCTAATTCCATTTGCTGCCAGGCAGGTATGGCAGTGCATGCCTGAAATCCCAGTAATCTGGGAGGCTGTGGCAAGAGGATCACAAGTTCAAGCAATTTAGTGACTTAGTGAGATTCTGCCTCAAAAAAAAATAAGGCTAGAGATGCAGCTCAATGCAAAAGGCCTAGGTTGTTCACTCCCCAGAACCATCAAACAAAAAGCCCACCAAAAGCCCACCATCTTATCCTCTGTGTAACCGAGTTTAGGGCGAGTGATTTGGGTTAACTGTTGCTCAGCCTGCTGTTTCATCTTTGGTCCCTCTTATCTCTGGTGCGCCTCGGTTTCTCATACATGTGCTCACCTTGTCCTAGGCTGCCAAGAGATCGCAGAGGAGTTCCGTTCCCAGGAGATTGATGGACAGGCTCTTTTATTACTTAAAGAAGAACATCTTATGAGTGCCATGAACATCAAACTGGGCCCTGCCCTTAAGATCTGCGCCAAGATAAATGTCCTCAAGGAGACCTAAGGTGGCCCTCGTGGACAACGCAGCTGCAAGTGGACACTCCCTACTGTCCAGGTCACAACCTGGAATCAGCAGACTTTACAGGGAAGAAAGAGCTGTTCCAATTATGTGACCTTCTGGAGGGGGACTACTGAGCAGGAAGAAGTGTAAGAATTGGTTGCTGGTGCTACATGGTGGCAGCTTTGACATTTTCTCTGGTTTTCATTTTCTTTTTAAAAATGTTCGCAATTCTCACCATATCCACCTGCCCTAACGCCATCTTTATAAAGAGGCAGTCTAGACAACCAGGACGGCCCAGCCTTATCCTGGAGTGGAGCATCTAGCCACCGTCTCAGTTCTCCAGAAGAGGAGTGTGCTGTATGGTAAGGCAAGGACGTGGAATGTAGGTTTGCCTCCCAGGGGCAGAGGTTGGGTTTTTCTAGCTTGTGTGACACAAATAGCAAAATCTGGTACTCACCCTCTTCCCTCGGGATTGTCCCACCGTAGCTGTGGCCCAGTTTTGTTATCACCTATTCCCTTAGTATTGAGTATTTCTCCTGTATCCATGGCAGGGTCACCAGCTGGTGGAAACTTGGTTGGCATCTTTCTGATTTGCTGCAGGGACTAAAAGCGTTTGACTGGCATACGTGTGGTTATTGTCATCTTTTCTGCATCCCCCTGCTTCCTACCAATTTTCTGTTGTTCTCTAGCCTCTTTCTTTTCACTTCCAACCTCACTCTGCCCTATAGCTTTATAAACAGGTGTGTGTGGGTCCGAGGTCAGGATTGTAAGTACCTGCCTTAGGGACTATTCCTTATACAACAAAATATTAAATATTTTTTTCTTCCTCAGTAAAAGGATGAAAATTGGTCTCAGTTGTCTCACTCCTTGCAATATGTAGTCTTCTCTTACACACAAATGATTAGGCCAACATCTTTTATGTTTTTTTAATCATTAAGTGTTTTTGTACAAAAAGTGGTGTATTTCTTTTTTCATTTCAAAACACCAGGATATGGGGGAAGGGCGCAAATAAAGGAGATGCTATTATAACATCAGTTTTCCTATTCAGAAAGAATGGAAAAATCCCACAAAACCATTCCAATAGTATCGAAAAGTCCAAAGGTGTAAGAATTTCATTTTCTTCTCTAAAGGCTTATAAAAGGCCCCTGCCTATTAATTCCATCCTTCTGGTGTCCAGTGGAGCCATGTTACTCTTTAGTGACCCAGGGTTCACTATTATAGGAAGATCAGCCTGGGATTCTAGGTACATGGCCTACACAGAAAGACAGAAGCATCAGAGGATTAAAAACTTCCCACAAACGTGGGCAAGACACACTTCCCTGAGCCAGCAGCAGGGACAGGAGCTGCAGCAGCCTCTGCAGCCACAGCAGAGGATTGCAGAGCCTGCATGTCCCATTTCTGCTTCCAACTCCTTTCCAGAAGGCTGGGAGGAAAAAGCAAAACCACATGCCAGTGGAAAAAGTGCAGAATGTGTTTAGAAACACTGTAGAGGGTAAGAACAGCTTTACCAGTTTCTACTACAAATGGGAGAGAGATGCCAGAAGAAAACCCACCACAAAGTAAACATACTGCCCTGTCCTGGAACCTCTGGAGCACAGGAGGTGGTCTCAACTATCTTACTGAAGGACTGGATTGCTGGGTTAGGCATTTACCAAAAGACCGCAACCCAAGCCCCAATTCCAGCCCCAGAGTCAACCCAAGGCCCACAAGTATGGTATCTTACAATTCTGTAATTGAGAAGTCTCACATTTTTCCTATCCGAATCGAAGTTTAGAACATCTCCAGGCTCAGACCAAATGGGAGTACTTAGACTGCAACCAAGTAATCACTGCAAAGCAGTTTCAAGCAGCAAGAAATTATGTACATCCAGGTTCTCATGGAGACTACTGTAGGGTAGAGTTACAGCATGAAAGCCATCAGGCCTGTATAAATAATGTTCCTTTGATTTTTTTTTTTTTAATTAAATCCAGTGTCTCAAAAACTTGTGATAATGTGTTTAAAAAGACAGGGCCAGTGACCCTTTTGCCCACATTACTGGTCTTGTACCTTCTGGTAGCCATAGTGCAGTAGCCTGTTTGCTAGGCCCTGCTACCTCTGTCTTCTAACTGTACCTCTAGAAAACAAAACCAGGAGCACAGAGGGCAGGAAGTGAGAAGACGATGCAAATGCAAAGCAAACTGGAAAGCAAGGTGCTATTAAGGGCAAGGTGAAGTGAGGGGAGGAGGTGCATGAGAAACCTGGCTGAGTATGCTTTGGTCTGGGAGACAAGAGGCTGGACATTCAAGTACGATCACATCGGTAATAAATGATCGTCCCTTTCTTCCGACTGCTCCCCCAGCTGGTCATCTCCTACACCTCGGTAGGCAGCAGGCACATTGCGGGGCTTAGAACGGCATACAAAGTCACAGCCATCCTGTAGGGGAAAGAAAGCAAAAAAATGGTAATTATGGATATTCTATTTTAGGGTAGGTCGAAGCATATTTATGTTCTAAGAATCTGACAACTTTTTCTCGAGCGGGGTGTGGTGGCACAGGCCTGTAATCCTAGCACTTAGGAGGCTGAGACAGGAGGATCGTGAGTTTGAGGCCAGCCTGGGCTACATGGTGCGTTGGAGGTAAGCCTCAACTACATGGCAACACCCTGCCTCAAAAAACAAAACAAAACTAGAAAAATTCTACAAACAATAAAGAGAAACCCCCCAAAATACAAGGACTAGCTTGAATTCAATTTAGAGGAAACAAAGCTCCTTCTAATCAGCCACGTGATGATTAATCCTGATGTGTCATTTGGGTTGAGAAACACCTAGCCCATTAGAACGTGCTCCTGAGTGTGTCCAGTGGGTCATGGAAGTGTGGCCTGGATGTTATGGATGGTCCCTCACCTTGACTTTGCTCCCCTGCTCTGCTCACAGGGTACCAGGAGGCAAGCAGCTTTGCTCCAGCAGACTTTTCACCATGAGGTTTGTCTTGGGGCCAGATGACTGGATTAAGTTACCCCAAACCATGAGCTCTATTATGCCTTTCCTTTAAGCTGTGTTGGGTAGCATGTTCAGCCATGGGAAAGCAGACTAATAGGCCATCATTTCTCACCTAGACCCTCCTAACAACTAAATTGGTTTGGGGGGACGCGTTATGTTGACTACTGATCTTCCACCCAGAAATGCCACCTTATACCAGGAAAACCAACTGTACTGACTGGTTGGGGCTTCTGTGGCACTGGCACTAAATGTCCTTTGTCCCATCTTCTGACTAAACCAGATGACTGGTTACCTAGCCAGTGGCCTTGTTACTTACTGCTACCAGGTTGCCAAGGTCCTGCCAGAAGGCTAAGTGGGGAAACTGCTCCATTCCTTTTGCTCCCACCACTAATCGCTGATATAAGAAACCCCCAATGATGTAGACAGCAACCAGTGATGCAAATCTGTAGAGAGAAAAAGATATGTGTTCTTAAAAACTAAAGCCAGGTGTGGTGGCACATGCCTGCAGTCTCAGCCATTTGGGGAGCTTAGGCAGAACATTACAAGTTCAAGGCCAGCCTGGACATCAGAGCAAGATCTTAGTCTCAAACAAAAAACAAGACAAAACCCAAACCCAAACCCCAAAGAACAACAAAAAAACTGAGCAGTGAAACTCAGATAACTAAGGATAGCCTCTACAATTCAATGTTGGCTACATTCTGTGAAAAAGGAACAAAAAGAGAAAAAGGGGGAAGCTTCCTTAGAAAATCAGCTTAAGATTTTTGTCAGGCTGACAGAAATTAAGGTCTAAAAAAATGTGAGCCACTGTAAATTTATCAGCTAAGAGTAACAGCCATTAGACGTGTAATTCCATTTCTCCACCATTCTAATGATCAAGTGGGATATCATTTGGAACTGCTCCGGGGGGCAACTCTAAATGCAAATGTTTACGGGGCATAAACATTAATGTGCTAGGCATGCTAGTGCACACCTGTAATCTCAGAACTTAGGAGGCTGAGGCAGGAGGACTGCCCTGAGTTCAAGACCAGCCTGGGCTACTGAGTGAGTTCAAGGCCAGCCTGCACTACATAGCCAGTTCCTGCCTAAAAAAACAAACAAAAGAACTAAAAAAAAATTCAGAAAAACAAAAACAACATTAAATCTAATTTCATTAAACCTGCATAGTCATTTCCAGTCAAATCTCCTGATTTAATATAACATGCACACATCAACTTGTATCCATATACCACAAAATTATTACTGCCTTTAAAGAGCTAAAGGAGGGCTTGTACTAATGAGAAGAGTACTCACGTGACAAGTAAGATAGAACCCACACTGAGGTGGGAGACTTCTTGGGAACAGGCTAAACTGCTATCCATCTCAAAGAGGTAGAAACAATCTTGGACTTTGCCTCGCTCCTCAGACACAGGGGTAAAGTTGTCCTGAGGATGAAAGGGCAAAACACAATACTTATGTGGTAAAATCTTTTCTTCTGACTTCTATCCAACAAAAGAAAAACCTGAAAAACATTCTCTTGGCTCAGCAGCCTAATTTCACAGAAGGTGGGTGTCTGACACAGGGAAAAATGGTGCTAGTTTTCTCGTGTTTCTCCACCCCATGTATCCTGTCCCTTCCAGGTATTCTCTCCTGCCTCAGGTCAGCTCTTGTAATCTGTTTCCACGGGCTTAGATACCCCCGGGGGCTCACCGCTAGGGTGCGTCGATTGCAAGAGATCATCACCACTGCACGGCGCTGCTCCTTGCCACAGTGGCTGTCATATTCATCACCCCCTTTATAGATCAGCATGATCCAATTACCTGAGGAGGGACAAGGAAGATAGCACTATGGGGTGGAGGGGAAAGTGAGGCAGCGCTGGGTATGGCAAGAGTGGAATGAAGGAATCAGACTGCTTTGCATACCAGACACGTGAAGCTAAAACTTGCTCCTTTACCAATGCTTTGTGCTACTGTAAGACAACTAAGAAGCAGACACTTAGATTAAGAACAATCATAACTTTCCACATTAAGGGTCAGGCAACTAATAATATAAATACAATTATGATCCATAGCTTAATACTGATTCACATTTTCCAAATACCTGGTAACAACAAAAGAAGCAGCTGCACGTAATTGCTAGGCAGCAGGGAGGAGCCCATCATTTTAAATTGGCCATAGATAAATTCAAAGTAGGTAATTTTTTGAGATGGGAATACACTTACTTTTTAAGTATTTACTGTGTTCAAAGTTCTTTTGCCAATATCACATGATTGAGCAACCATGTGAGGTGAGTTTGCATATGAGAAAGTCAAATTGAAAGATGAAATGATTATTCAGTCATAGGACTAGGAAATAGGATAGGCTGGAGCAAAAACCCACTCGTCTGATCCCAGCCCCAACTCTGAATAGTATTTTAGTGCATTATTCACAGGAGTATACCTACACTGGGTAATTAATTTACGTGCTTTTTGGAGGGAATCAGACTGCACCATGTAATCCTTTCCAGCAAAATGATTTTACTGCTTCTGAGAAAGAACTCCACAGCACACTGGTGAGAAATTTCTTATAGATGGATTGGTTTGCAAAAAAGCTTCATTTCTTAAAATTTAACTGGAAAAGTGGTTAATCTGATGAAAAGCATGGTGTATGGTGTGGAACTCATGAAATACTTGTGTGAATAAAGGACTCCAGACTATACATTCTGGCTAGATTTTGCATTTCCCATGAATCTGTCCACTGTGTTCCAATGTGTATGTGTCCTGAGTGTAGCTGCAGAGCACATGTGCACCTGGGAGTCTGTAGAGCATGTGATACACTAAATAGACTACAACAGGCCAAGCCATATAGAACTGTCAGAGGACCAACATGGGATTAGTCAATAGCGGTCTTACTTCCGTTGAAGACATGCGTCTCATTGAGCCTTCCCACCACCGTCTCTTTCCCACTGCTCTTGTTGATCTGCACCAGGCCTGCTCCAGAGCTGTGGTTGCCGGCTTCCCGGCACACCCGGAATATGTACATGTATGTGTCAGAGCCTTGGCCTACAGTGCTTTCGAAGCTGTGAAGAAAAGCAGAAAGAGAGGAAGAGGACAGTTACTAGCTATCAGCCTTAAGAAAACCTAGCCTCCCTCTCTTCTTTTGAGGGTAACAAAAACAAAATGTGCTTGACTTATTTATCTGACATCGTGGCTAAATGTAACAGTGAACAGCATTTGTTGAACTATGAGATACTGATGACCCTAACAGACAATCCTAATTGTTGATGACGAATGATTAAGATGTACCACCCAAAACAGCTGAATATTCTAGATATTTGTAGAATGCCTACTTTAGGCTTACATGAGTCTTAGTGATTATTTTTCCAACAGCAAGGGTCCTTGTTTGTCAAGTAGCCCCATGTTTCTTAAGGATCACCTTCAGATTTAACTAGCTGGCATTAATAACAACATGTATAAGCTTAAACATGTTGATTTAATGCTCACAAACCACTATGATATGGAGGTATTAAGCAATGCTTAAATTTCTACTAGAGTCCAATCTTCTCTGAAAGTAAGACGCTGCTATTAAAAACTGGGATGAGATCCTGTCTACAGCATTGAGGACAGCGAGGTGTTATAGCCAAATAAACCTAATACAGTGGATCCTTGACTTACAAACTCAATACGTTTATGAAGGCTGGCTATAACGTCTCGCTTCCTCATTAGAAATGATGGAAATACTCATGTGTTCTGAACACTCCAAAGCACCCCTTAACTAACCTTTTCATAATAAAAAATGGTTGTATAATGTGTGTAATTTACCAGAAACACCAATAAGTTTCCTAGTGCTGTCACCAAAAAGTTATAAAATGTGTCTAGTTTACCAGAAACAAATTTTATACTGTACTCACCATTCAAATTGGTATTTCTGACTTGCAGGAAGGAAGAAATGGAAGGTGGTTTTTGTTTGGAAGGAGAGTCCCCTTCCATAGGAAAATCAGCAATCTGGCTCTCTGGTATCCTTTTTCTCCTTGGTCTGTGTAGTCCACCAGGATCTGCTCTGGCTCACAAAGTCCCAACCTTTTCATAATTAAAAGCTGGTCTAAAGTGGTCTGTATATGTCTTTTGCCTGTTCTACAATATGACATGACACTGTCATTAAGCAAGTGATGGAACGAGTGGCTTTTTCTCTGGGTGGGTCTTTATAAATGTTTGTAGACAATTTCTCTGAGTGTTCCTCTACCAGTTCCTCACTACTGTCTACCTGCAAGCCTATGGACTCTGACACAGTGACAATGTCATCAACCACAAGGGTCAAATGAAGGCTCAGGCTCCTCTACACAGCTTTCAAAGTTTTTCTGCTTTATAACTGTAGGCCGCCCTTTCTTCCCGATCTCAGTGTCTTTAGAGAGACTGGACCAGGATTTCTCAATCCCACACAGGAAAGGCTGTTGTAATGTTCCTTCCAGAACTCTTTAAGGGTTAAATCTCTATCTAAAACCACCTGGTAGGATTTCAGAATAGTTCCTTGGTGTATAGCTTCTTAAAGTTAGCTACAACCTGCTGGTCCATAGGCTGCAATAGAAGAGTTGCATTAGTTAGGTAGGAGGAACTTGACTGAGGGTCATGGGAATTCTTCAGCCAATTCTTCTTCCAAATCTTGTGGGTGAGCAGAAGCACTGTCCATGATGAGGAGATCCTTCAGTGATAAGCCTTTGTCCTCTAGATATTTCTTAACAGTAGGACAGAAAGCCTCTCTGATACATTCAAAAGAAAGTACTCTTGTAACTCAGGCTTTTGCATTAGATGTCTACATCACCCTAGCCTATTTTTTTTTTCCAGTACCGGGAATCGAACTCACGACCTTGTGCTTACCAGGCAGGCGCTGTGCTGCTGAGCTAAATCCTCAGCCCATCCCCAGCCTATTCTTCCTGACTGTGTTTTCTGAACACTCTAGGGGTCTCAGAGTGAAAAACTAAAATAGGCTTTAACTTGAGGTCAGCATTAGGCATGGGCACATAGCAATACGGTTAGCCTATCCTTCATGCTTGTGGCCTGGCATTTTCTTCTCTTCCTGGGTAATGTATGTTCTAGTGGGCATTTTCTTCCAGGAACAGCCAGTTTCATGATGAGAGCAAAAGTCATTTCTGTGTCATCATTTCAAAGTGGTTTATATAATTTTTAGCAGCCCTTTTACCAGCACTGGCTGCTTTACTATGCCTCGTTACTTTATGAACCCCAGTTCTTGTTTTAAAATTGTGAAACTACCCCTTACTGGCATGAAATATTTCACTATTATCACTTGTTGATGGATTATCCTTTGAGATCTGCATTTATAGAAAGTCCTAGCTTTCTCACAAATTATACACTGAGATAGGCTATAACCTGCCATCTGTCTTCTGTTTACCCACCCTAATACAGTAATAGCCTATCTTGCCGGGGATATAGCTCAGTGGCACAGTGCCTGCCTGGCAAGAGCAAGGTTCTGAGTTTGATTCCTGGTACCAAAATCCCCCTCCAAAGTAACAGCCTATCTCATCTAATACTGTTGATCATGACTGAGTAATGCCTTTAGCAACACTAGCTTCCTTATACAAATCTTTTCTCTGTAAGATGGTTGAGACGGTGGATTTCAACATGCTATAAATGTTAGCATGACTGGTCACACAAAAGCCACTCTCACATCTCTCCACAATTTCCTTCTTTTTTTGATTGTGATTGGTTTTTTACTTTCCCTTTCTTCCTTAGCTTCTTTTCTAGCTTTCTGGGGGCCATTCTGGTAGCAGTAATCATAGCAATTTATATATAAAGCACTGACTGAAATCATGTTCACAAACATGTGCATCTGGCTTCAGACTGATGCTTATGTATGCCTACATTCACTTTTCTGACGTTGCAAGTCTTTGTTTATAGCCGCACAAGCAGCCCGTATTTGCATTGTAACTCAAGATTTCGGTAGTAAGTTAAGCCCGAAATTCCACTGTATTATTCAAGAGCAGATTAGAACACACCTCCTGGAGAAGTTTACTACACAAGTATTCCCTTCATATTAAACTGAAACTTAGTAAGTAAAAAGAAGAAAAAAATTCTTCAATATAGTTTCTCAAACCCTTTAAGGTTCTTCTCATTTACCTTTTGTTATACAATGGTTTCAGCCTTGTCAGTAGAGCCAACTCTTTCTTTGACTCTTTATCCTTTTCTCCCACCAAGTCACAAGTTTTTTCTTCAGCCTGCAGGGATTCTCTCACTGCCACAGCCAGGAGTAGCAATAGCAGCAATCCAGTCCTCCAGTAGCTACAGAAGGGGAACATCCTTTTGGAAGGGAGTATGTGTTGGGAAGGATGGGTGTGAGTAGGAAAAAAGGAAAAGAAATAAAGCATATGAATGTGTAATAAATGAATGGTATTTTGTTAATTTGAAAGTATAATTCTTTTGGCATATGTAACATACATTTTAGTATCTCCGTGCCAAGAACACCTGCAGCAGGATACCCACATACGTAACTTTTAGTCTGATTTACAGATGAATCCTTCAAAACAAACTACGGGAGTAAGAAGGAAAAGAGGAAAGAATAAGAGTTACTTAAATATTGATAACCTGTGCAACTATCCTTACCTCTTTCCTGTTTGGTGAAAAGTTAGACTGCCAAATCTCATTATTCAAAGATTTTTTAAAATTAAGTTTATTGTTACATTTTAGGTATACATAATGATCACATTCATTACAGGGAATCTGTAACTGTACATGATATAACTTCTTTTTTTTCCCATTCCCCTACCCTCCCTTCAACCCCTCTTCCCCTCCTTATATTTAAAAAACTTTTTTTTCAAAGAAAATGACTCTTAGGTATACATAATGATCACATTCATCATAGGGAATTTGTACCTGTACATGATATAACTTGATTCTTTTTTTCCCCATTCCCACACCTTCCCTTCAACCCCACTCCCCCTTATTCACAAAAGCTTTGTTTCCATTTTTTCCCTTCCTTTCATTACCCCTCCCTAGTTTCCTTTTCCATTTGAACATTTTCTTCCTATTTCCTAGTATCTATTATATATTTTGGTCCTTATTTACACTTTCAGTTTCTCACACCAGAGAAACAATGTGGTATTTATACACGTGTGTCTGATTTATTTCACGTAAGAGTATGGTCTCCACGTGCATCTATTTAGCTAGCATCATTATTCAAAATTTAACACTAGCTCATAAATAAAGCTCAGTTTAGTGGCCTTTCCAAAGAAAATACTCCAACTACAATTTAAATAGATTTCTGAATACTCTAGCTGGAAATTATTAAGAAAGATGTAAAATATAGAAATTTGAATTTCTGGCTTCTAACTTCTCATATCAATATTCAACAGTATCTAATGATCTTTGGTTACATTCACCCCAAATAGAGGTAAATTACCCACAGCACCTAAAATATGACATTTATTTACTCTGATGTTTCATCTCTGAAAAATCATTCGATCATCTGAGTTACAGGAAGAAAGTTCATTTGGTCAAAATGAGTGGTCTGAAAAAGGCTTCCAAAACCCACCTTAGCTTCTGCAAGTCACAAATCTCAAGGACTTCTAGATTTCTAGTAGGTACAACTACTTTTTTAAAAATTAAGCTTATTGGTACAATTTAGATACACATAATGATCACATTCATCAGAGGGAACTTGAGGTACAATTATCTTTATATTCTCCAAATTGATGACAACTCTGGGTTCACCTGTTCCTTGTACAGCTCTAAAAATGGAGTGATAGCTATTTCTCAAACTATTTCTCTCCTCTAACTTATCTTCAGACCCAGAACACAGTGATTTATTCTTGCAAAAATTTTCACTCAGGTATTAATGATCCTCCAGTCCACAGCTACTTTTAAATTTCATAACAATATCACTAATTTTTCTGATACAAAGTTTAATTCTTCCAAAATTTTCTCACTGAAGATGGGAAAAATGGAAATTCCTACCCTGAACCCTGAATACTTTCTTTTCTCCCCTATACAAGCTTATTATTAGACCTTCTATTTTTCTACACTTGGTTACAGCAACAAATGCCTGAGAATTTATCTGACTTCATGTACCCTAAACATCAATTCACTACTAATAAAGCATTTCCACAGAATAATCACAACTAGCCAAGAAATTAAAGACCCCACGACATACTTCAAGCACCAAAACCACACAAGTGGGAAACATTTCAGAAAGACAACCTTTACTCAGGCATTGAGTGAAGCACTTAACATATATTAACTAACTAATCCTTACAATTACTGACCGTGTTTAATGGCTAAGAAAACAAGCACAGCTATGGCAGTAAGCCAGATACTTGGGCTCCAGAGCTTATGGCCTACGTTTACATGATATACTGCATATATCTTCTTTCCTCTTAGTTTCTGGAAGATGAAAGTAGGTAACCAAAGCTGTGGTGTCCCCACTTTCTTTTTTGGTTTGTTTTTTGAGACAGGGTCTCACTATGTAGTTCAGGCTGGCCTTCAACTCACTATGTAGCCCAGGCTGGCCTCGAACTTGCAGCAATCCTTCTGCTTCAGCCTCCTGAGTGCTGGGATTACAGACATGCACCACCACGCCCAGTCTCCACTTTTTTTCTTTTTCTGAAAAAGCAAGGAGGGGAAGTGACTCCTCACACAGTTGAGTGAATAGGAGGTGGAATAAAGAACTCAGAGCTGAAGCAGCGATGTTCCCTAAACTGACTTGCTATTCAATACACAACTTGACTAGCTGATTCACTAAAAGAATAGGAAACTCCTTATACTAGACTAATTTAGCGTGCCAGTTTCCTTATGGTCTCAGAACCTAATTTAAAGTGCTAACTTTTTGGGTTTTCAAGAGCCCTCCCCACCCCAAGGAGCAGTTGCTGGAGGTATGCTCACACAGAATGCTATGTTCTTTGGCCTCAAAATTAGTTCCTTATTTGGGAGGGGACAAAGAAGTAAATACTGTGCAATCAGCATCAGCTGAGTTGAACTATCTTTTATTTGCTTATTAGTTTAAAAAGTTAGGATGAGAATAAACTTATACTTTCTTTTTCCTGCCTAAGGTTTGGCTCTAAATTAAGCTGCTTCTCTATCATACAGGGTGGTATCATACATGGTGCTTTAATATGTTTGTTAATTTTCACAACCCAAAAATGGGCATCATTTTTCCCACTGTAAAGGTGAGGAGTAACTGTGATGTTTACAGAGTTACTTAAATAACAAGTGAAGTTACCTGCTCTAAGTTATACAAATTACAACATGTAAGCAGTTACTGGGACAACTTGAATGATTCACTGAAAAAAGTATGTGGTGGAAAACTGAAGCACAGGGGTACAGTTAGGAAGATTATGAAATCCAAGGGACGGGTAGTTGCTTTTTAATACAGTACAATTCGATTCTTTTTTTTTTTTTTTTTTTTGGTTTTTCTCCGGTACCGCGAACCGAACTCACGACCTTGCGCATGCCAGGCAGGCGCTTTTGCCGCTGAGCTAAATCCCCAGCCCCAGAATTCGATTCTTAAGGCACGTACTTTTGGGAACAAAGAGTGAGATTTTATAATCTTAAAAAAGCCCAGTCTGATTTTCTTATTCTACAGACAGATCTATTTGGGATGACAGATCCGTTATTGGGATGTCCCTGACCAAGGCAGGCCTTAGGAAGCAGCTTACATTTCTGGACCTCTGAGAAATTATCTATCACTTCCCCACCCCTCCAGACTGGTGGCCATTTTCCAGCTTTCAGTGGAATTTCCTCTTTCTTCCCGCTGTTCATTTCTGATTCCTTATCCTTTTCCTCCAGCAGCCTGACCTTTCAGAAGAGCAGCTCCACTTGGCCAAAATGCCCGAAGCTGAGAGAGCGAAGGCGCCTTAGATTAATTCCACGTCCCAAAGCGGAAGCTCCCTGCGAGGAACACGATGCAACCCCTCTGTTACTTTTCTCCACACCACGCTGACAATCCCCTCGAAACTCCTCCACGATGTTGGAAAATGCCACTTTCCAACTGTCTGAAGATGCCATACCTTGCCTAAGCGATGCCGCTTAACCCCGTTTCACGATGCAACCCTAAAGTCTTTCGATAACTACGAGGACCTCAAAGGAGAACTCCACGCTGGGGACCACGCGTCCTGCCTCCCCGACGTCGCACGGCTCCCCTCGGGCTCTGGAGGGCCTCGCGCCTCACGCCCTGGCGGTCTGACTGCCGCCCCCAGCCCGCTCGCTCCAGTCACAGGAGCGCGCCCTGCCCACAGCCGCCTCCACGCCCCTCGGACTCACGTGTCGCGGGCAAACCGAGAAGCCAAGAGGCAGAACGCCCGGGCGAATGTCCCTCTGAGAGCCGGAGCTGGGGCCACCAGCGGCCAGCCGCAGACCGCAGTCCCACAGCTCGTGTCAGACGCCGGCGCTCTCGCAGGGCTTCGCCGTGCCCGACTCCGGGAACCGGAAACAGGAAGCGCGGAGGCCGGCGAGCGCTCCTCCCACCAGACCCCGCGGCAGGTGAACGCACAGCCCTCGGCCCGCGTTCCCTTCCCGGGCTCCCCGACCACTTCAGACACCGATTGGCCAGGATCTCTTTGCTTTTCGCTCCGCCTCTGCCCATCAACTCCAATCACTACGAAGATGGTCAAGTTTAGTTTTTTTCTTTTCTGGTCGCCTCTCTACCAATGGAACCCACACTCCTGCTCCGCAGTTCTGGGCACTAGCGCCTCAGCGCCCCCAGGGTCACGCGCCAGGTCAGCTTCTGATTGGTTAAGGTGGAGAGCGGAAGTGGGGGTGACGGCGGAAGCGGAAATGCAGGCTCTCTGGGAGTTGTAGTTCTCACACTGGTGCGAGACCGGCGCGTGCACAGGTCCTCCGCGGCCTGCGGGAGACGCTGTTGATCAGTCTGTGGCTCAGATTCAGTTTGTCTAAAGTTGGCAGCTGCAAGGACAGTGCAGTGATGGGGTCGATGGAATCCTGGCTTTCTTAAGGACACTCGTGTTCATTATTTCCTTTTAATAGTGTAGTACCTTGTGAGTGTGTTGTCGCTATTATCATGGCTAGGTCCTGTCCTAGGGCATTTTGCTTGATAAACATACTTTGCAACCGCTTCTGTTTTCCAGAGGTTGCTCCCGCACCCTCGGCTCCCTTATCCCGTCTGCATTTCTGACGTTTTGGGGAACAAGCAGTTGCTCCCTTTGTTCCTTCGGTAAGGTCTTTTGGGGTCCTCTTATGTTTCACTAGCCACTTTGTTGAAGCCCTGCTGACCTTGTTTCAAATACTACTGCTGCTATAACTTCTTGGATCTACTCTGCAAAATTAGTCATTCCTCCTAATGCTCGCTTTATGCTTGCTTGTCGCCTGGCTTTAGCTTGTTTTCATTTTGCGGTAGCTTTTATTCTTGTCTGTGTGACCCGCCTTGTCTCTACAGGGACCATTTTCCTGCTCTCCTTCAGCGCTAGTGCAGTGCTTGGAACCTAGTCATAATGATAACCAGAAGTGATGCCTGGCACTTAGGCACTTGTGGAAGTGCTATGAAATTAGTATTAATTTACTTAATCCTCACACCAGCCTGACGAGGAAGAATCGTACCCAATTTTACAGATGAATAAAGCAGATCCAGGCAAAGTATGTAACTTAGTCCACAGCTATTGAATTATAGGGTTAGTGTTTAAATTTAGGCAGATAGTTTCCAGAATCCAGGCACTCAAGCAGCGGATCATACTGACTATGTGTTGTTCTACATTTGTTTATTAATTGGTATATTCAGTTCAATCTAGGTAGTAATTATATCTGGGTTGGTGAGTGAAAAAATTAAAATATTTTCATTTTAATAAAAGTAATGTTAGAGGGGGCTGGGGATTTAGCTCAGCGACACAGCGCCTGCCTGGCAAGCTCACGACCTCGCGCGATTCTCGGTACCGGAAAAAACCAAAAAACCAAAAAAAAAAAAAAAAAAAAAAAAAAAAAGGTTAGAAAAAAAAAAAAAAAAAAAAAAAAAAAAAAAAAAAAAAAAGTAATGTTAGATAGAAAACACAACAACAAAACAAAATCACATACCTATTCATCACATAGTTGTGTATTTTCTTCATGCGTATAGTTACTTCCTTTTTTTTTTTTTTTTTTTTGATCCTGGGAATCGAACTCAGGGTGCTTGTGCTGTTAAGCTATATTCCGGGCCAGTTACTTCCTTTTAAAAAATTTTAACGTGTGCTAGTTCACCATGTCAGGAGGCAGAAAGATGGCAAATTCAAATTTGAACCCAGCCTAGGGCAGCTTAGTGATTTAGCCACACACTGTCTCAAAAAAAGTTCTGGGGATGTAATTCAGTGTGAAGGCCCTGTGTACAATTCCCAGCGCTACAAAACCAACCAACCAACCAACCAACCAACCACCAAAAAACCCAATAAAAAACCCAAAACAATGTCAAATATTTCTTTATATGATTAACTTTACAAAGAAGCTTTTTCTTTCTTTATTGACACCAGGGATTGAACCCTAGGCCTAGGGCATGCTAGATATTCTACAGCTGAACTAGTACCCCTCTCCCCCAATAAACCTTTAAACAGTTTCATGGTATAGCTTTACAGATTGCTACCAAACTAATGCCATTGTTTTCAGCCATTTGCGTTATTTCTGTCTTGCTTTTATCAATTCGTTCAACAAATGTTTACTAAGCAATTACTATGTGCCAAACACCACTATAAATTTTGAGGATAAGTCAGGTGAGGTGGCATGTGCCAACACTGGTGAGAGGCAGAGGAAAGGAAGATTGCAGGTTTGAGCCCTGGGTGGGCTACTTGGCAACTTAGTGAGAGTCTACCTCAAAATAAAAAAGGCTGGAGATACATCTTAGTGCAAAGGCCCTGAGTTCAATCCCCAGTATAAAAAAAAAAAATTGTTTTCTGAGGATAGAGAATAGAGACAAAATTCCCTGTTACAGTGAACATCCATTCTAGAACTGATGTTCATTTGTTGAATTCAAATGTAGGTGAATTCAAATTTGTCTTCTGTTGGAGTGGAGGTAGAGCTGGGATTCCTTCCCTATCATTTACAAATAACCTGGGTTACTTCCTTGTGACTAGGGCCTCCGTGCCCATTCTGGGTGCCTTTTGTGTTTGGACTTCCACCTTAGAACATAGATCAAGGTTCTTGTTCTGAGCAAAAATTGTTGACTGTGAGCTGAAAGCCTCATTGGACTGGGCTTATTGAACCTCCTGACACCTTCTTGCATTTTAGTTTCTTTTTTTTTACAAGACCTAGGATTGACCTGACACCCTTCTTTGTGTTAGCAGATTTTGCTCTGGTTTCACTGCTAAACACATCCTTCCTGCTTACAGTTTCTGATCTCCTCAGGGATCTTTTGGAATTTATTTGGTAGGTCCTCAGTCCTGATAGGCACGTATTTGATTTGCCATCTTGAGTCAGATTTTCATTGGAATTTTTTAATTGATGCCTTTCAAAATGACCGTGTTTGACATATTTCAAGGACTAAATAGATTTTTGGTTTTTGGTAACTTTCAGTTATACTATAGTTTAATACTTATATGAAAGAAATGCAAAAATAATACAAAGATGTCTTGTGTACACTTTACCTAGATTCACTGTTTGTGCATATGTCACCCCATTTACTGTATTACTCTCTGGTTCCATCTTTTCCACCTTCCACATTTGTTTATTTTGAACAATTTAAAAGTTTCTCATTACCACTAAATACATGAAGGTATATTTCCTAAGAACAATGATATTCTCTTACATTAGCACTGTGCAATTATCAAAATTAGGAACTGTAACATTGATACAATATTATTATGTAATCTATAGTCTATTATCAAAGTTACATCAATTGTTCTAGTAAATAATTTTTTTTTTCTTGTACCGGGAATCGAACCCATGACCTTGCACTTGCCAGGAAGGCACTGTACCACTGAGCTAAATCTCCAGCCCTGTAAATACTTTTTATAGTTACTTTACTTTCCATTCCTTAAATGCAGGAGTCAAGCCAGAGTTACAGAATGCACATAGCTGTTCATTTTTATTTGACATTGAAATTTTGAAGACTATAAGCCACTTATTTTGTAGAATTTTTCCTCACATTTTGGGTTTGCTTTTTGTTTCCTCTTAACAGGAAAAAATTAATATAAAAATTTGTTTTCAGCTGGTCATGGCAGCACATACCTTTAGTCCCAGCGCTCTGAGCCCAGACTGAGTAATTTAGTGACTTTATGAGACCCTGCCTCAGAAAATTAAAAAAGGGCTGGGAATGCAGCTTGGTGCCAAGGTCCTAGTTCAATTTCCAGTAGATCAACAAAGAATTGTTTTTAGTAAGAGATGATAAAAAATGAAAGAGATAAAAGGATGCTCACACAGAGATAGCAAATACATAAAGCAGTTATTACCTCTAAGGCTGAAGAATTATTAAGGAAGTACCTTAAAAACTTAAAGGAAATGCTCCTTACCCCGACCACAAGGTCAGAGCAAACCTCTGAAGAGAGGGTGTGGTTCCTGCCACAAGCACATGCACGCCCACTGAGGAGGCAAGAAAATTGCTTTTGGAGGCTGTAGGCCGCTACTGAACAGCCAGTGGCAGCCTTTTTATGTCGGATCCTTTATCCTTTTGAATATCCACCAGGCACGTAAGATGCTCTGTGCTTATTTCATGCTTTTCAACATGGGTGAACTGGAGGGCATCCTATTAGGAGATACATGTCAGGCACAGAAAGAGAAATACTGCATGATCTCACTTGTATGCGATGTCGTAAAGATCAATCTAAAAACATTACACAGTGAAAAGGTGGTTACCGAGGGTGAGTGGAGGAAATGAGAGGATGTAGGTCAAGGGGTTCAAAGCTGCAGTTCTATAGGATGAAGAACTAGGTTACAATGCCCATGGGTTTGTAGTTTGTATTGTATACCGGTAATTTGTTGTGAGAGTAGATTTTAGGTCCTCTTACCATGAGGGAAAGAAAGCGGGGAGGGAGGGAGAGAGAGAAAGACAAAGAACTACAACCTGAGATGATAACAATGTTAATTTGCTTAAGTATAGTAATCAATAGCATATGGATATCAAAACATGTATGCCTTAAGTATATACAACAAATATTTATTAAAACACAAATTTGTACCCTAGAATCAGGCATTTCTCCATGGAGTTTGGTGGAAAATGGAAATGAAAAGCCAATATCTTATTATAAGTTGTGTTATTGCTTTAATCCCTCTCAGCACAGTTAGAAAATCATATCCACAGGTCACTTGGGTTCCTGTTATAGTTCATATAATTGCTGTATACATTTGTTCACACAAAAGAAAACACAGTCAGTAGTTTTATAACTGATAAATGATAGCACTGTGTAAAGCAAGCTTACTCATTAGCATTTCATATTTGTTTGAAGTCCTGTGTTTGGTTGCTGAGGTAAAATTAATTTTTGAAATGAAAATATAAAGAAGTGAATTTATTTTAGTATATGTGCTGCTGAAGCGAGCGCAGGAAATGAATATAATAGCATGAAATTTTTTTCTAATTTCACTATTGGCAAAACTAGATCATTCCAGAAAAGTAATAAGGTCAAAAAGAACACCAAGAAAAACAGTAGACAGTGCTCTGTGGGGCTTCTCATCCGATCAGGGACAGAATAAACCCTCAAGGAACAGTATTATAATGTCCAACGAGTTCAGCCTGTTTGCGCAGCGCCCCCAGGCTTTCCTGCAGCATTCCCTGTTGGGTGCAGACGGAACAATCCAGAAAGGGGCCCAAGTGAGAAAGACTATGGGATCTGCTCCTCTCTGTCCAGTCCAGACATCCGTAACAGGCAGGCATGATCGCCACAGTAGTTACTGTACACAGAAGCCCACAGGAAAAGCGATGTGGCTTGCGTGCTGTTAAAGCCCGTTTACACACTCAGCAGTAGTTTAGACCACCTGCTATATGCTAATTATCCTCAGGGGACTGACTGAGACAGTTCAGTCTTTTTAACTTTGAAATCATTGTTTAATTGTTTCATAAAGGCATAAACATTGTGCATATTAATAGGGTAATATACCGTTTCAGTATACCTTTTATATGTTGAGTAATGCTGAGTTAAAATTTATAAACCTTAAAGTACAACTCGTAAGTATCTAATTCAATGAATTTTGTCAAACGCATCATAACAGTTACCATCCTATTTGCAAGATTTTTATTACCCCCCAATTTTTCTCATGCCCATTTCCACTTGTTGCTCCTGTTCTACAGGCAACTATTTTCATTTTTTTACTGTAGATTAGTTTGGTCTATTCTAGAACTTCATGGAAATTGAATTATCTACTATGTACTTTTTGCACTATTTGATTTCTTTTGCTCACCATGATATCTATGAAATTCTGTTTTTGCATATATCAGTCACGGGTTTTTTGTTTTTGGTTGGGTACTGTATTGGATGAATATTCCTCACTTTGTTTATACCTTCTGTTTTTGACAGGTATTTGGATTATATCTGTGTTTTCTTCTAAAAACTCTTCAAATTTTATCTAGTATGTTGTATCTTCAATCTATTTTGAATTAATTTTCATGTATATTGAATTGGTTCATTTTTTTCTTTTCCAGTAAATATATAATTCTTCCAGTCACATTTATTGACTTGACTTTCTCCCCTAAATGTTTTATCAAAAATCAATTGGTTATAAACATGTAGTACTATTTTTGGACTTAATTCAGTTTCATTGATACCTTTGTTAATCATTATGCTATGAATACAATGTTTTGATTCTTCTAGTTGTGTACATACTAAAGAAAAGTACTATAAGTCTTCTTTATCTTTTCAAGATTGTTTTGGATAGTCTAGCCCCTTTGCATTTTCGTGTACATTTTAGAGTTAACCTGTCAATTTTCTATGAAAAATCCTGCTAGGATTACAGTTGGGACAGGTGGGAATACAGAGATAAATTTGGGGTACACTGACACTTTAACAATGTAGGCACAACTCTATTTAGGTCTTAGTTAATTTGTCTCAGCAATGACTTCTAACTTTTTAGTGTAAAGGGCTTCCCTGTCTCTTGTTACATTTATTCCTTGGTACTTAATTTTGATACCTTTGTAAGTAAGTGTGAAAATTTATTTTACAAGTGTTTGCTGGCAATATGTAGAAATGTAGTTGATTTTCTATTGCTACCTTGTGTCCTGTATTGTTTCTAAAATTACTTATTTTGGCAGTTGCTTCATAGATTTGTTAGCATTTGACAGATAAGTAATGATGTTGTCTGGTAGTTTAATTTCTTTCTTTCAGACTTCTGCTTCTGATTATGATGGTATAACTAGGATCGAGTTGACTCATGGTGTGCAATTAGGAAACTGGAAAAATACATGAAATACTGGTATTTTGAACTGGAAAACAAGCAGTGCAGGACATGATTTCTGAGAGAAGGCAAATAACAAGGTGTTTATTTATTTATTTATTTATTTATTTATTTATTTATTATCTTTTTGAGACAGGGTCTCACTATGCAGTTCAGGCTGGCCTTGAGCTCACCTTGCAGCCCAGGCTGGTCGCGAACTCACGACAATACTGCTGCCTCAGCCTCCTGAGTGCTGGGATTACAGGCATGCACTACCATGCCTGGCATAATTTATGATGCTTATTTATTTATTCTCCCTTCTAACGGCATAGAGAGAATATCCAGAGTGCAGTGCAGGAAGAGGGCATCCCAACAGAGCCAGTCTATTTTACTGATGTTGGAAAAGAGAATTTGGAGTCTGAGAAGATTAAGGCATCTAGAATTTGTTGGTCAGAGTGCTGAAGAGAAGAGAAACGCACACAGCAAGCCTTAGGTAAGTAGAGAGGGATCTTCTAAAATCTCGGCTGTGAACAGAGCTGGGTCAACCCAAAGGAGTAGGTAGAATAACCCCTAGATCTCATACAGGCTGAAATCGTTTTCACCTGCCAAACTAGAAAGTTCTCCTATGGACATTCTTTTTTTTTTGCTGTACCAGGGATCGAACTCAGGACCTTGCGCTTGCCAGGCAGGCGCTTATGCCACAGCTATATCCCTAGCCCCGAAAGTTCTCTTATGGATTTTAGATGTTAGTTCTGAGAAGATATTTTTGCTTCAGTAGATGGTCCAAGTTAGCACGAAGCTTATGTAAAACACTAATAAAGTATTAAAATGGTGGGGCACGGTTCTTCACTGGTCTCTCACATTGCAAGCACAGCTACCAACAGAGGTTTTGTTTTAGGCTCTCTTATCAGGGATACTTTGTAGTAAACGGCCTTGGAATTAGAAATAATTCCAAGGGCAGATTTGTTTGTTGCCCAGTATAATAATGTCTCCTTTGGGACAAAAAGCAGATTGTGGGCTGGGGATATAGCTCAGTGGCATAGTGTCTATCTGGCAAGTGCAAGGTCCTGAGTTTAATTCCCAGGACCAAAAAAAAAAAAAAAAAAAAAAAAAAGCAGATTGTTTGTAGTGCACCTTAAGAGATTCAGATGCTGTTTCAGTTCATATCTAGGTGTCCCCCAAAATCCTCATGTGATCACAGATGAGGCTTTTGACAGGTGACTGGGTCATTGGGATGTGATAATCATCACTGGATTCATCCACTGATAGGTTTATAGCTAACTGTGATGTTGGGAGGTGAGGCCTGGATAGAGGAGGTGGTCACTGAGGGTATGACCTAGAAGGGTCTGTCTCTTTCCTTCCTCCCTTGATCACTCCCTGCTTCCTGTCTGCCACTCCATGAGCTATTTCTTCTCTGCCATTCAGCCCCGCCTTGGAGCCAATCAGTTATGGATTGAAACCTCTACAGACCATGAGCCAAAACACACTTTTCCTCCTTTAAGTTGGGGAATCAGGAATTATGTCTCAGGGATGAAGAAAGTAACTAAGCCAAATGCCTTTGACTTAAGGGCACTCAGGTATGGGGCAGACCCACGGGTTGCATGGCATCCATCTAGCCTTGTTCATGATGCTCTTGTGAGACTTAGGAGACAGGAAAACCCAAGGCAAACATGAATCTCATGTTACTTGCTACTTTGGTAATAATAATGTTCTTTCCCTTTGACCCAGGAGTTTTGTGTCTTTGGATAATATTCACAAAGCTTGATAAGTTAGTGGAAGTAGCTTAAAAACTCTGAGTCTTCACAGTTCTAGATAAAAAGTGTCAAAAGGATTAATCCAATTCCAAATAGCTTGTGTTTCATATCAAATGCTAACAATTAAAAAAAGATGCAATAAAATTTAGCACCTAAAAGCACCTAAAAGCAATTCACAAATCTTCAATAAAAAATTGGCAGGCATACAACAGAGGAGATAAATATGATCCATATTTCCATATTTACAAGAAAAACAAAAATCAAAAGAAACAGACCCAGAGATGACAATGATGATAGAATTGTCAGAAAGGATGTTAAAATAGCTATTGTACATATGCTCCATACAATCAGAGGATAAAGTTGAACATGATGAAGAGAAAGGTGGGATATATATTTTTTCAAAGAAAATGATTTTTATTGGTACATTTTAAGTATAAATAAAGAATGGAATATATTTTAAAATAACCCAAGCACACTTTGAGAAATAATAAATATATCTTTTTTTTTTTTTTTTTTTTGAGACTGGGTCTCACTAATCTTCAGTTCAGGCTAATCTTCAGCTCACTTTGTAGCCCAGATGGGTCTTGAACTCATAACGATCCTCCTGGCTTAGCCTCCTAAGTGCTGGGATTACAGGCCTGTGCCACCACATCTAGTTTATAAATATATCAGAAATGATAAACTAAATGGAATGAAATGAATATACTGAATGGGATCAACAATAGGTTAGAAACTGCCTAAGGAAAGATTTTTTTTTTTTTTTTTGGTTTTTCTCCGGTACCGGGAAACGAACTCACGACCTTGCACTTGCCAGGCAGGCGCTTTTGCCGCTGAGCTAAATCCCCAGCCCCCAGGAAAGATTAATTAACTCAAGAATATATAAATAATTTTAAAATTTCCAAAATAAACACATGGAAAAGTCTGGGGTGGTAGTGCATGCCTGTGATTACAGTACTTGGGTGGCTGAGGCAGAAGTATCCATGAGTTAAAGGCCAGCCTGGGCTACACAGGGAGTTCAAGGCCAGTCTGAACTACCTAATGAGACCCCATAGTTTCAACTGCCTCCCCCTCAAAAACAAGAAAAAAGAAAGAAAAATACATAGAGATCTCTCTACAAAAGATCAGAGCTTCAGTGACCTATGATACAATGTCGATCAATCCATCTAACACATGTATATTTAGGGTTTCAAGACAAAAAACATGTTTGGTAAAATTTTCCCACATATGTTGAAAACCATAAACTATAAATTCAGAGATCAAAGGATATTCAATCTATATCAAGCAGAAGAAATGTGAGAAAAGTCACGCAAACTATGTTATTATCAAGCTGCTTAAAAGTAGTAATGAACAGACCATCTTAAAAACAGTCAGCAACAGTTGGGTGTGGTGGTGTTCACCTATAGTTCCAGCACTCGGGATGCTGAGTCAGGAGCATAGCTGCAAGTTTGAGGTCAGCCTGAACTATGTAGTGAAGCTCTGTCTCAAAAAACAAGCAAGCAAGCAAGTAAACAAACAAACCAAAACAGCCAGCAAAATTACAGTGGCGTACTTCACATCAGGAACTATGTAAGCCAGAAGAAATGAGACATTTTCAAAGTACTGAAAGGGATATTGGAAACCCTATTAACTAAGAGTTGTACACACACAAAACTACCTTTAAGAGGTGGAGGCACATGACTTTTTCCCACATAAACAAAAATTGAGAGACTTCGTTGCAACAGATCACTAAAAGATAAATAAGGGACTGTAGCACAGTAGTTGAATGCTCGCCTAGCATGTGAGAGGGCCAGGGTTGAATCTCCAAAACCATAAAAACAAAAAACAAAACAGACATATTAAGAGAAGTCCTGCCAGAAGGAAAATTATACAAAGTAGAAGTTTAGATTTATATAAGAGAATGAAAGACATTAGAAAATGTAAATATATGTATAAGACATTTATTGTTTTAAAATATATTTCTAAAAGATTAGTGATTGAATAAAAGAAAAACAACATTTTACATTAAATGAACCTAATACCCATATATAGACCATTCCATTCAATATCAACAGAATATGCATTCTTCTCAAATGTACATGAAACCTTCTCTAGGGCAAATCCCATTAGGCTACAAACAAATCTTCACATATTTAGAAAGACTGAAATAATATGAAGTATCTTTTTTTGATCACAATGCCATGAAAGTAAAAACCAGTAACAGAAGAAATCTCCCAAAATATACAAATATGTGGAAATCAAACAACATGTGCCTGAAGAACCAATGGGTCATAGAAGGAAATATAAAAATCTTTTGAGACTAATGAAAAGAGAAACACAGTATGTGAAAACCTATGGGATTCAGCAAAACCAGTCACAAGAGGGGGAAGTTTATAATGATAAATGTCTGTGCCAAAAAGGAAGATGGGTTGGGGGTGTAGCTCACTGACAGATTATGTGCTTAGAGTGTGCACAGTCCTAGGTTTAATCCCAAGTGTGCACACAAACATGCAACAGAAAGCTACATTATACTTGAAAGAACTAGAAAAAGATCAGATTAATGCAACATTAGTTGAAGAAAGGAAATTATAAAGATCACAGCAAGAATAATTAAAATAGAGTCTAGACAAACAATAGGAAAAATCCCTAAATGTTAGTCTTTGAAAAGATAAAATCACCAAACCCTTAGCTAAACTGGAAAAAAAGAGAAAGTAATTAAATATATACGAGCAGAAATGAAAGAGGAGATGTTGCAACTCTTATCACCAACATACAGACCATCATGAGAAAGTAATATCAGCCAACAAATTTAGATAACTTGGAAGAAATACACAAATTCCTAGACACATACAATCTACCAAGACAAAATCATGAAGAAAGCGGGCAGAGATAGCTCGGTGCAAACTGGCTTTCATGAGCACTGCAAAAAACAACACAAAAAACAAAATCCAGTTTGGTGGCGCATGCCTGTAATCCCAGCCTGGGATATAAAAATTCTGTTCCCTATAATTCCTGAGATTATTTTTCGTATTTCTATAAAAATGTCATTGGGATGTTGGTAAAGACTGTTGAATCTGTAGATCTCTTTGGGTAGTGCTATGGTCTGAGTGTGTCCCCTGTAATGCATATGTTGAAACCTAATTGCCAGTGAGTGTTAAGAGGTGGGGCCTCTTAATTAGGAAATGAGGGCTGACCATCTTGAGTGGGATTCGTGGCCTTATAAAGGCCTGGGAGAAACTCAGTAGTCCCCTTTGCCCTTCTGACGTCTGCTATGTGAGGACATACCTAATTTGTTTGCTCTAGAAAACACTGTTACCAGGGCCCACCTTGGAAGCAAGATGGTTTCATTAGACACCAAGCATGTGGGCACTCTGAGTTTTTACTTTTAGCTTCAGAACTGTGAGAAATAAATTTCCATTCTTATAAAGTACCTAGTCTCAGCCATTTTGTTGTGGCAGCACAAATGGTAGCACAGGTAGTATGGATATTTTAGCAATAGTAATTCTTCTAATTCCTGAAACATATCTTGTCATTTGTTTTTCACAGTGTTTTTATCAATGTGTTATAGTTTTCAGTATATAAATTTGTCATTGCTTTGGTTGAGTTCATTCCTAACTATTTTATTCTCTCTAGTCTGTATTCAATTTTTTTCTGCTCTGACTTGTATTTTCTTCCTTCTGCTAACATTGAACTTAGGTTTTTCTTCCTTTTCTGGTTTGTCGAGGTGAGAAATTAGATTATTTCAAATATTTTTTCTCTTAAAAGATAGATGTTTACTGTTACCAGTTTCCCTCTTAGTACTGCTTTTCCTGTATCCCATAAGGTTTTTTTTATTTATCATTTTCATTTGTTCAGAATTTTTTTGGTTTGTTTGTTTCTTTTTGTTTTTGAAACAAGGTCTTGCTATGCAGTCAGGCTGGGCTGAACTCATGATCCTCCTGCTTCAGCCTCCCAAGTGCCAGGATAGAAGGTATGTACCACCACATCCAACTTTGGCTGGAAATATTTTTAAAATTCCCTTTCGATTTCCTTTTTGACTCAGAAGTTGTTAAGAATGTGCTATCATTTGTCTAAAAAAGCAATGTGATGTCTAACTGTGGGTCTTTTCATTTCATTACTGTTCTTAATTTCTAGTTTCATTTTACTGGGGCTAGAACAGTTACTTGGAATCATTTGATAATTTGAAAATTGCTAAAAGTTTATTTTGAGGGGCTGGGGATTTAGCTCAGCGGCAAAAGCGCCTGCCTGGCAAGCGCAAGGTCGTGAGTTCGGTTCGCGGTACCGGAGAAAAACCAAAAAAAAAAAAAAAAAAGTTTATTTTGTGACATAAATATGATCTGTATTAGAGAAAGAGTAATCTGTTGGGTGGGAAGTTCTGTATGTATCTGTTAGGTTTATTTGGTCTGTCATATTCAAGTCAGCTGTTGATTCACTAATTTTCTGTCTGGATGATCTTTTCATTATTGAAGTGAAGTATTACAGTCTCCTATCATTATTGTACTGCTGTCAACTTCTCTCTTGCTATGTCCACATTTATTTAATTTAATTAATTTGTTTTGCAGTACTGGGGTTTTAAGTTCAGGGAAGTCTAGGCAAGCACTCTACCACTAAGATATTTCCCTAGCCCTTTAACATTTGTTTCATATATTCATATACTGATATGTTGGGTGCATATATACTTACAATTGTTATGTTTTTCTGTTGAATTGATCCTTTCGTCATTATAAATGACTTTTCCCCCACCAGAGATAATTTTTGACTTAAAGTACATTCTATGTGATGTAAGCATAGTCTTTTATGCTCTCTTGGTTACCCTTTTGCATGGAATATCTCTTCACACCCCTTCACTTTCCATCTATGTATATCTTTAAGTCTAAAGTGAATTTCCTCCCAGTGACCATAATATTTATTTGAACTAAGAGGGAAAGGTCTTAATGTTTTCATACAATATATACTTGGTTCTTTCAATAACAATTGCGGCAAATAGCAGAAAGAATTAAGGAAAATTAATGGAATATCAGACAGTATTAAGAGGTAGCTCAATGGCACAGCATCTACCTGACAAGCACAAGATTGTGAGTTTGAGTCCCGGTTAAGAAAAATTAAAAATAGTAAAGAAAGATAAACTCAAGGCTTTTATGGGTAAATGGATGCAACTAGAGACCAGAGCCATAAGCAAAATAAATCATACCTGCATATGTAAATACCATACTGTCTCCCTAGCATAAGAACCTGAAAGAGTAAATGAAACTGAAGGTACAATAGATACTGTGAAAGGGAAAGAAACTGACTAATAGGAAAGAACAACTGGGATGAGGGAAAAGAGAAAAGAAAGAAAGAAGGAAGGGAAAAAATGTACACACACACACACACACACACACACACACACACACACACAAGATAGCTAAGATATTGTACTACTAATTTCTATTGGTTTATTGAAAGGAACAGTTAATGTTTAATTGTTTGATCAATCTTGCACACCTATATCTGGTAATCTGAGCAACTACTTTGAAGATAACAGTAAGTAATACAACAAACAGTATTGATTTCCTGTTATCTTGTTCTGAAATTCTGTATCATTTTTATAGTTTTTGTGTTGTTTTGTTTTTGTCTTTTGTTTTGTTTTTGTTCTTTTTACAAAAAAAAAGAGTAAACAGAACAGTTGAAAAAATGTTTTGGGGAGGGACAAGCATATGTGGTTTTTGCAAAATACACTGAGCAATGGTCCATCTCTCCCATGATTATAGGTATATGTCACCAGTGGTTTACTTCTCTGTCATTTATCACCATTCAATAGGTTCACAAAATGGTGAAATCAGTCCCATTTTCTCTACATCTATTTTCTTTTTTCTTGCTTTCCTTATTTTTTATGTTTTTGAGGCAGGGTCTTGTATGCAACTCAGGCTGGCCTTGAGCTCACTTTGTAGCCCAGGCTGGCCTCAAACTCACAACGATCCTCCTGCCTCAGCCTCCTGAGTGCTGGTCTCCATCTATGTTCTCAGATAGAAAAAAAAATCTGAGATTAATGCTCGAGACCCTTTCATTTTTATCCTACTGTGTGTAATTGTGGTATTTAAGAACCGTTGTTTCCCCTTGCTCAGTAGGATTAAGTAAGATTGACAATTAATTTAAGACATATTTCATGAGCATCTAGAAAGTGTGCCTGAGCACACCAATATTTTTTTTGGTCTTTTTGAGACAGGGTCTCACTTTGCAGTCCAGGGTAAAGCAATTTTTTAAACAAATTTGAATATCAGTTTCTATAGGCAGCCCCATAAGTCGAATCATTTCCTGAAAAGTTACTTCTGCTTTTGTCAAGTTTCCTGCTACCAGTTGAGAGACTGGGCTGCCTTCTCACCTGACTGTCACCACTGCGGGCGAAACCTGGTAGATGGAGAGAAGTGACAGTGCCATCTACTCCACCATCGAGCTGCCCAGCGCAGCCCAGGCGCGGGATGACTGCAGACCACAGCAAAAGGGTGAGTTAACTAAGTGAACGAGGAAAACTGCAGAGGAGTGTAGGTCAAGGATGAAGGAGGCGTACAGTAGGTTGGAGAAGTGGGGACAGAACAGTTAAAGGTTATTTGAAGAACTACTTTGGGTGCAGTTTGAAGTCCTGCATTGAACTATAGAAATTTGGTGTATGGTATAGGGTATGATCTCAGGTCTCAGATCTCAGGTAAATTCATTTCAATCGTTCACTTCTAGGAGCCATCTAATGCCAGGCAAGGGCAATAGCATTATTCTTTATTGCTCTGGAATTAAAGCAGGAACTTTGTTGGGAGAGTTTTTTTTTTTTTTTTTTTTTTTGGTTTTTCTCCGGTACCGGGAACCGAACTCACGACCTTGCGCTTGCCAGGCAGGCGCTTTTATTTTTCTGACTATGAAATGAGAAAGACACCAATGATTTTTCTAATGGGCAATAGTAAGATTTTGTCAGAATAGAAACTGACCATTTCCCCT